AAATAAGGTTTCTTAATGTTAGTTTGTCATTTTATAAATAGGTTATTTAAACTACCTTTTTTACCCCATGTGGGTGGGTATGTAGAAAATGCTAAAATGTGTTATTCTAAGGAATTTTAGGCTTATTGTGAAAGTAGAGACTGAGTAGTAGTTGCACCAGTACCTATTCCCATTTATTAAAAGCTATCAGAGGCTGGACATTGTGCTAAGTGATTGCATTATCTTCTCTAAGGAACTATGTGAAGTAGGTATTATCTTCATTTTACAAATGAGGAAATTGTGCTCTTCATTTATCTCCTCTATGAAACTGAAAAAAAAAAATGGACTCTCTTACTTGAGCTTATATTTCTCTCAGTACCTAGTTCAGTGTCTTGCATGTGTTTAATATGTATTTTTTTTTTAAAGATTTTATTTATTTATTTGACAGACAGATCACAAGCAGGCAGAGAGGCAGGCAGAGAGAGAGGAGGAAGCAGGCTCCCTGTGGAGCAGAGAGCCCGATGCGAGGCTTGATCCTAGGATCCTGGGATCATGACCTGAGCCGAAGGCAGAGGCTTTAACCCACTGAGCCACCCAGGCGCCCCTAATATGTGTTTTTTAATTAACAAAGGATTATTAGTTGAATTAAATTAAATTGTAACTTACAGATAATTTAACAAAGATAGCTGTTGTGTACTTTTTTCTGGCAATAAACTTAGAGGCTCAGGACATAAATTAGGAAGTAGTCCTTAAAAAATGAAGAACAACAACATGTAATTAAGGTCGAGAGGAAAATATCAAGAATCCTAGGGCTCAGGGTAATTGGACAAAAGAAAGAAAAAATAGAGGTAATTATAGATTAATTAGCCACTGCATCCTAAAAATTGTTATGTTTAACTACAAAATAGCTGGATTATATATAGATTTAAAATGCATACATGATTATAGCAAGAGTTGCATCTGACATGAAACTTGTTTTTCTCCCCAAATATAAAGTACAGTTCATCCAGCTTTCTGTGCTTTGCCAAAAGAATAAATGTCTTTCCAATACTTTCATAGAAAATTGTCTAGTAGTACATTATAGTTAATTTTTCCTATGATTTTTCTAGATGGAAGAGCCTACCTTTCTCCTTTCCAGCTACCTGATAGCTATTAACTGTGTTGCATGTATATCCAAATTGTATCTATATTCACTCATGTATTTTAAATAACTAGTTTAAATTGCGGTGAAATTGCACCCTGTGTTTTGCATTCATTTTACTGAACCCTGCTACTGCAGTCTCAATACTTATTCAATGCTTGCTAGTGGATTACTTACAGCTGTCCTTCTCAAGTGATCATGTAAATCCTCCCTTTATTTTGAGAATTGTAGGTTTTGAATACAGAAAACATTTTCATAATACCTGTATTATCGCAGTGTTATGGTTCTGACACTGTTTTCATTAAAACTTACCACTTACACGAATTTAGATTTGAATCATTTTAAAATCTCACTAGGTGCAGAAGCTATGTGTCTGATAGATAGGTGTGGATGGTAGGCTTTTGCTTTATTGTTTAGTTTTAATGTTAAGGGCTGTTTTCAGATACACTCTCTTTTTTTCTTCCTGCATTTTCTCAAAATGAATGAAAGATTTGTTCTTATAACAAGTTATCTATAAATTATCTTTCTTGAATTTGAAGTCATAACTATCCTAAGGAGAAATGGAAAATTTGCTATTAACATGAAACAGTTGGTAACGTATATGATTGAGGGTGTAACATTAGATTATTTTATAAGTCAATTTTATTTTAATTTGAAATGTCACAGAATCACATTTTGAGTATAGACTTGCTGTAAGCCTTTTTCTTTTAATTATTCCCATATATCATGGGAAAGGGTGGGGGGAATTCTTGCTTTTTATGCTTTGTCTTTTTGAGTTATTTCATTTTCTTATTCCTTTACCTCATTGTAGTAGGGTATTAGGAGAGAGGAAACATACCTGTGGTCAACCAACTGTGTTAAATGAAAGTTGTTTCTTTAGAACTAATTTTTTTTAAAATTTTATTTATTTGACAGAGAGAGAGAGATCACAAGTAGGCAGAGAGGCAGGCAGAGAGAGGAGGAAGCAAGCTCCCTGCTGAGCAGAGAGCCCGATGCGGGGCTCGATCCCAGGACCCTGAGATCATGACCTGAGCCGAAGGCAGAGGCTTTAACCCACTGAGCCACCCAGGCGCCCCTCTTTAGAACTAATTTTAATGCACTAATCAAACATTGCCAGTATAAAGTATCTGAAAATATCTGATGGCAGGAACTATATGTCGTATGTTTTTTTAACTGTACTTTTTACAGTATCTATCAATAGTCTATCATGTTCATTACTATTACTGAAAAATTGATACTACTTGAGGGTAAAAAGGGATTGATGGGAGGCTCAGTAGTGGAGTGGTTAAAAGCACTGAGCTGGACTTCTGCTTCTGGTTATCAACTAACCTCCCCCCAAGAATAACTATAAAAGCCAGAGGAATAAAAGCCACTGTTTGAAGGTATAGGTGAGCACCCAAAACAGTTAAGACATGAGAGCCTAGATCTAAGAGATTGAGAAAAGATTAGCTACACTTTGAGAAGTACCTGACCTTCTATGTCACAATTTCTCCTTAAAGCAGTTTTTGACTTCTCAGAAGCACAAATGTAGGATGAGACATTGAGAAATCAAGACAGAAGTAATTCCTAAGAGCCTAAAAAGCTAAGTAGAGATTTGGGAATCTCACACCGCCTTAGGGACAAAACTTAGATCTAATCGTCAAGCAGAAAGAGGCCTGGGGAACACCCCAGGCTTTCATTTGAGACCCCAGAAAAGCTACAATAGGGAATAGACCAGTCTCAACTGGATCAATAGGTAATCTACTTATATTCTGTTTGCCAGAAGAAAATTAAATCCTCTGTTGAGGAAAAACATCATGAAGAGTTTCTACAAACTTTCATCCATGGTATCCAACATTCAATAAAAAATTATCAGACATGCCAAGGAATAAGACTAAGTGACTGAAAACCAAGAGAAAGCAGACAGTAGAAAGTGACCGACTGGCATCCACAAACTAGCTTTATCAGACACAGACTTAAATTAGTATGTTTTGGCCTGGGGGGAGGTGGCTCAGTCAGTTAACCATCTGCCTTTGTCTCAGGTCATGCTCTCAAGGTCCTGGGGTCAAGTCCCGAGTTAGACTCCCTGCTCGGTGGGGAGTCTGCTTCTCCCTTTCCCACTGCTCCGCCTCTCATGCTCTCACTTTCTCAAATAAGTAATTTTAAAAAATTATTTTTATGATCATGTTGTAGTAGTTAAAGTAACATTCTCTTACCACTCTTGTTGGAAAAATTATATTGGATTTATTCATTGTTTTAAGAATTGACATATTAAAATTCTAACCTAAATTTTGTTAACAATAAGCTTATGTAAATTTATTTTTGAAATATTATTTTCCTTTTAAAGACCCAATCAATCCTTTCCTCTACTATTTACCAAGAAATTTTGATTTTCATTTTAAATGTGCTGCTTTAAAAGGCTATTTTCTAGTGCCATTTTCTTTTGATAATGAAAATTTCTTATATTTATCAGAGAAAGGCTTTTAAACCTATTCTGAAACTCTTCAGGGAAGATCTTTTTTTGAATTAACTGTGGTCACCCTAACTGAAATTGGACCAGGGGACTTTCACTACTTACATTCATAGAGCTACATATCTATGCCAAAGTACATCAGTATCTGCCGGTCTCTGTCTCTCTATTTCCTGGGACAGTGTGTGGCATTTAGTAGATGCTCAGTTAGTATGTGTTGAATGAATGAGAACTAAAGAGAGAATAATCCCTTCTTGTCTTTAGAGAATTTATAATCTAATGGCAGAGATAGGACCAAAATATAGAATATAGATTCTTTAGAGACTTTATAATCTAATGGCAGAGATAGGACCAAAATATAGAAAAGATCAGGAATGCTTACAGGAAAGGAAAAGCTTATTTCAATTAAGCTTAATGATAAGTTTTTATTTGAAGGAGTTTTCATTTGATTCATGAGGAATTCAGAGTCAAATTTTTGGGAAGAGAATTATGACATGTTAGAAGAAGGTATTTGGGCTACTTTTGGAGGACTGCATTGTGTAGGGATAAGATTATTCATCTTGTCATGAGATAGTTATATCCTGAACCACATCTTTGACTATAGAAATGTACAGCAAGGAGCAGAGCTGTCTGAAGGCATGATTGGCTTTTTAAACTTTCTTGTGGAAATGCCTTGCAAATATGGAATTCTGAGACTCTCTGTAACAATGGTCATGTGTTTGCTGAAGAGATAAAATAGATGTTTTTCTATTTTTCTAAAATAAAATATCAAACTTCACATATCAAAACAGAAAACAAAATATAATACCATCTATTTTCATTACACACAATGGCATTTAAGTTTTTTAAGTAGCCCAGCAGAATTATGTTCATAAAGATTCCATTAACCAATAATACGTTTTGTCTCGTTCATTCCCACTCTGGTTAAAATTCACATGTTATTAATGTCAGGTACAGAAATTATTAAAGGAAAAGTAGTAGGTTATTTTATAAAGAACATCTTGTATAATTTTGGAAACCAAGCACAATATTCTCTTAATATTTGATTCCCAGAATGGATAGACTCAGATAGTAGTTACTGATACTGCATTGCTAACTAAATACACCTTAAAAATTTTTTATCAAGGACAAGACTGAGCGTATTTTGCATTTTTTATTCCTTCTTAGGAAGTTACGATTTTACCAAATCTCAAAATACCAAAAGTGGTTTTGAGACTTTGTATTTTATTTTCTAAAAAATCTTCCTAACAACAGCAGAATGAGACTAATCTAATAGTTATGATACAAGGTTTGTTTGTAGTTAATATCTAATTTATACCTAGATCATTATCTCATGTTATATACTATCAATAGAGAAAGCAGTTCATATTTATAGTATATCAGTCTACAAATTCATATGTATTTGATGATTTTTAAAAATGATTTCCCTAGGAAATATAACTTTTGAAACAATGATGGACATTCTCCGAGATAAACCAAGTGGCATTAATATGGAGGGAGAATTCCTGACCACTGCAAGCATGGTTTCTATTTTACCTCAAGACTCCAGCCTTCCTTGCATTCACTTCTTCACAGGGACTCCCGATCCTGAGAGGTAAAGTCATAAAATATTATAAACCAGCAAGTGGTCAGGGAGTAGGGTAGTCACTAGTCTTTGGTGATTTTGCCAGGCTAAATTTTTCTTACACAAATATGACAATAATTTTTGTATGCATTTTCTGTTCAGGTTGTAGTCTTCCATTTCCACATGTACATAACCACCATAGCTATTTTCATTTTTATCGTACAATATTACAATATGTTAATGGATTCTTGTATGCAGTTATCCCTACTCTCTTCCCCCACATATACTTAAAATTGTCAAGAAAAGTAAAGTAGATGGTTTTCTTTTGCAGATTCAATATTACAGTATTAGATGATTAAAAACAGTAAAAAGATTAAATGATGTAGTTGTGCCACATTTAGGTGGTTACTTCTCTACTCATATCTAGAAAATACATGCATATAAAATTTAAACCATCAGTAGTTGAAGTTATATCTCAAATAGGATTTGTACAGACTAGTCATTAGTGTCTCTCATAGAACTTAATGTGCACTACATTTAGAAATGATCTTATAGACACTATCTCCTGTTATGGTCTTTTGTGTTAGTAAAGATATTTTCAAGAATATCGGATGAGACTCATGAATTCCTTATTAATACTGCTGCTCTTTTTCTTTCCAAATCCTAATCCTCAATCTGTAACACTGAGGATTGTCCTTACCCTTCAGCTGTGGAGTTTGCAGTAGAAAATGATGAACTATAATTTCACTTGGGACTGTTTCTGTGCCAGCCCCTTTGTTAGGTTCGTGAGAATACAGGGCTAAAAAAAGTGTGCTCCCCAGCCCCAAAGAAGAGCCCAGTGTACCAAGACAGACAGACATGGGTATAACTAGTATGACAGGAACAACTAATATGTAAGAAATTAATAGAAACTAGAGGGAATCTTAAAAGATTTAGAATGATGCTAAATATTTTTATATCCCCACAAGCCAATTTAATGAAGACTTTTTCTTCTAGATCCATTTTTAAGCCTTTCATATTTGTACCAAATATTCCACAACTCTTGGATACGAGTTCACCAACATTTGGACATGAAGATCCAGTTAAAAAGAAGCCACGTTTTCAGTTTAAGCCTGACAGAAGACACCCACTCTACCAAAAACATCAACAGGCACTGAAAGTAATTGATAAAAAGGAGGTATGATTAAATTATATTGTTTTGTCATTAAGAATAGTTTCAAGTATGATTCAATCCACATTTTGAACTTTGGAATTTCAGCTTTCTTTCCTTCCTTCATCTAAAAATAGGTTTAAAAATCGTTTAGATGTTTAGATTATAGAGCTGTAACCGAAGGTTAAAAATAGTGGTTAAGAATGCATTGTGAATCTTTTAGGGAAAGTTAATGTATTAAATGTAGTAACAGTACCTCACATTTACTGAGCACTTACTATCCACCAGCATCATGGTACCATTACGCAGAATATTTTATTTAATCTTCACATTCTTTGTGAGTAGCTACTATTATTATATCCATTTTACTGATAAGGAATCTGAGACTTGGGTAGTTTAAGCGGCTTACTTCGTTTATATCTCACACCAAAAATGACAAAGCTACTGGAAGGCAGTTAACACTGTCTCTTACATAATGTTCATAATAATATAGCCTTAGATTAATTTTTAAAAAGATTTTATTTGAGAGAGAATGAGAGAGAGAGAGAGAGAAAGCATGGGGGGGGGTCATAGGGAGAAGCCTGCTTAGCAGGGAGCCTGATATGAGACTCGTTCCTGGGACTCCAGGATTATGACCTGAGCCAAAGGCAGGCGCTTAACCAACTGAGCCACCCAGGCACCCAGACTTAGAGGGGTGGGTGCCTGGGTGGCTCAGTTGGTTAAGCAACTTCCATTAATTTTAATGGAAGGTGCTTAATACCTCTTAGACTTAAAATAACGAGTTGGAGTTTTAAAAAAGTGATAAATGCTTGTGATTTTTAAATGTAAGCATTATAGAAGATTAACTTATCTAAAATCTCATCTCTAGAAATAAGCAGATATATTTTGGGGGGGACAGATAGATACACACATAGATTGACAATTTTATAATATCCATACTTCTGCCCTCTTGCCCTCTTCCCTCTCTACCCCAGAGATTAAAAAATAGACTAAGAAGGAAATAGAAGGGCTACCCAAAGTTTTTTTTTTTACAGAACCATCAACTCATTTCCTTCAGTGAAGGAAAAGATTGGCCATCTTATACCTTTTCTCACCTGTTTATACAAGCTCCTGATTTCTATCGCCTATAATTTCTTTTAATCCATCAAAGTATATACATAAACTTTATATGTATATACAAAGTATATACATATACATATACTATATATATATACATGTATGTATATACATATACATTCTTTCTATGTAATATTAATTAAATTAATTGTCCTTCAGGTAATTATTTACTTGCTTTTGTCTGTGTATGTTGGCACAGTTGCCATTCCCCCACCTGCTTTGCTTACACTTAAAAGCAGAGAGTTCTGTCCAGACCTTCTATTTGCTGTGAATTCTTGACACTATTCTTAATTTATTTTGGGCTACTTTGCTTTCACTTAAAACTTTGATTCTGGGGACGCCTGGGTGATACAGTCAGTTCAGCATGTGACTCTTGGTTTCAGCTCAGGTCGTGATCTCAGGGTCATTAGATTAAGCCCGACATGGAGCCCAGCATCGGCCATGTGTGGGCCCCATGCTCAGCAAGGGGTCTGCTTAAGAGTCTCTCTTCTTCTCCCTCTGCTCCTCCCCTCCTTCAAATAAATCTTTAAACAAAAAACAAAAACTTAGAGCATAAACACTTTTTGTAGCCTGGTGGCATGGAGTGAGAAGCAAGCAGTTTGTCTTAGAAGCCCATCACATGTGCTGATGACCGCGCAGTCCACTGGCCATACACTGCCGTACACTGTGTGGGCTTGGCTTACCCTCCAGACTCAGCACAGCCCTGTGAAGAATGATGAGCCCTTTGGCTCTTCTTGCTCAAGTTCTTCAGTGATGTGTTTCAAGACTGTCGGCTCTGGGGGGATTTTCCCTTGTTCCTCCCTGAGCAGCCTCCACACTGCACTAATTGCTTACTATAGTTCTCAAGAGTTGTCAGCTTCCTTTCCCCCTTAATATTGCGTCTGGAAGGTTGATTTTGTAGACTTATTATTAAATTTTTGTTTCATTAAATTGCTGATTGACAGTTTTCTGAGCAATACTGAAATTAAAATTTAAAAGCTGTTGTTACTATTTTAGGCTTTAATAGACATTAAATGTTAGATTGACAAAAGAAAGCAGTGGAAAGAATAGAATTTAAGGGAAGAAGTGTCAAAGAACTGGGTTCTAGTCTATTTTTTTTTAATTTAAGTATAGTTGACATACAATGTTAACATTAGTTTCAGGTGTACAGTATAGTGATTGGACATTCTGTACATTATACTATGCTCACCCCAAGTGTAGCTGCCGTCTGTCACCATATGTTATTACAATACCATTAACCATATTCCTTATGTGCCTTTTATCCCTATGACTTATTCATTCCATAACTGGACATCTGTATTTCCCTCTCCTCTTCACCCATTTTGCTCCCCCTCACTCCCCTCTCCTCTGGCAACCATCAATCTGTTTGCTCTGTATTTATGGGTCTGTTTTTGCTTTTTGTTTGTTTATTCATTTGTTTTGGTTTTTAGATTCACATCTAAGTGAAATCTTACGTTATTTGTCTTTCTCTGGTTCTAATCTACTTTTATGTCTTCGAGTCAATGCTACTGACTTTTAATTTACATTTTTTTTAAGATTTTATTTGAGAGAGAGAGAGAGCGTGAGATCACCAGCATGAGTGGTGGGGAGGGGTGAGGAAAGAAGGAGAAGCAAGAGCAGGAGGCTCCATCCCAGCGCCCTAAGTAAGATCTTGACCTGAGCTGAAGGCAGCCATTTAACCAGCTGAGCCACCCAGGTGCCCCTTAATTTACATTTCTTGATTATTAATGAGGTTAGAAATCTTCTCATATGTTTATTGGACATTAGTATTTCCTCTTAAATGACTTAAATGCTTCTTCTTTTCCTTAGCCTACTTTTCAATGGTTTCTTGGTTGTTTTTGTCTTTTGCCTCAAAGAGGCAAAAATATGTGAATTTTGAGTCTTTGTTATATTGCAAATTTTTCATCTCAGTTTATTGTTTTATGTTTAGTCAATTACATTTGTTAGTCTTTTCCTTTAAGGCATCTTGATTTTATGCTTGAAAAGGCCAGCCTCACTTCAAAATAAACAAAACTTCTGTATTTTCTTCCAGTATGTATATGTGTGCTTGAAAAAAATATTTAGTTCTTTAATTTTGTGAAACTTATTTTTGTGTATGTTATGAAGTAGGGATCCTATTCTTTGTTTTCCAAGAGCTAATTATTCCAATGCCATTTGTAGACAAAATACATTTTTCCCACTCTTATGTAATGTAGCGTTTCTTCAGAAAAAGTCAATACAATTTTATTTTGAAGTCCACATTAAGGTTAAGAATCTTTGTCTTGTGAAGTTCTGCCCCATAATTGTTCAGATTTTTTAAATTATCCTTATTTTCTAATAACTTTCTTCTTACATACTTTTCCTTTCAGTACCTGTTCTATAACTGGTTATGATAATTCATCAATAATTTAAAAATTGCTTCATTCTGTAAAAGTCATGACTGTTCCCCTACCCACCTTCTTGAAACAGAGAAGTCACAGGGAGGAATTATCGATAAAATGTCTTTTCTTTTAGTTGTTCTTTCCTTTGAATATTGCTGTTCTTTTTCCTTTGTTTAATCTGATAATATTAAATATAGAAGCTCCAACTTCATAAAGATCTTAGCCTCAATTTTTAGCAACCTTCCCCATACACAATTTCATAATATCAATTGTCCTATTATTTGTCTTTTAGGTTTCTTGCTTATAGACTAATCCTACACAACTATTCTTATCTTTTCTACTATTTTCTTATCTTTTCTATCTATTTTCAATTTAAAATACCTAGTAAATTGGGGTTAATCTGTTAATTCAATCTAGAACAATGATTTTTCCCAAGGAATTTCATTCCTTCTATATCTAAAGAATAAGAGGAAGGGAACCAAACTAGAAGCAGAACCCAGAATGAATAAATCTTGTCTGTAGAGGTGAGCTAAAATTTGGTTAGACTTGTATGTGTATGTGTTTATTTATTTTTATTTTTAATTATTCAGGAAAAAGCCAAAACCTTGTTGGACAACATGAAGAAACTGGAGAAAGACCTATTCAAAGAGATGGAATCAATTCTTCAAAACAAGCATCTTGATGTGGATAAAATAGTTAATCTCTTTCCTCAGTGTGCAAAAAATGAAATTAGAATTTATAAGTCAAACATTAGTCCTTAGTGGTCATGTATAGTCAGCAAAATCTTCTTTAAAGTCAGAATCTATCACCTATCATCTATCATCTATCATCTATCACAATGTTATCATTGGTAAATGATAACAACCTAATTTGAGCAGATCTGATTATTCTTTAATAGCATTTACATTAATGGCCTATGAGAACTACATATATATAGCCTTGCTGAAATACTGAGAATGAAAATAACATTGGAATTAGGCATGTATATCATGGAATAGCCAGGAGGTATTTCACGTATTTATTTGCCTAATTTTTTTAGCCATAATACCTTTTAAAAAATTATAATAATTAAATATTTAATTCTTCATAAAACATAAAATATTAAAATAATACATACATTTATGTTTATTATAGTTATGTTTGGCCTCAAATAATTTTCTGATTTACAGAAAGCAGATTTTTCTTTAGTAATGAAAATACTGTTTCTCAAGTAATGAGTTTTTCTCATTAGGCACATACTAATCATCTCTAACAAAATATCCTAAATTTACACATTGTCTTATTATAGTGTATTAATTATGCAAATGCGCTTTTATTAAACTCAAACATGCTTTTTTTCAAGGCTTGGCTGACCAGTGAGCTTTTAGCTCTAATTATCAAGCATTTTTTCAGCCATGCATCTTTATAGGCTTTAATATTTTTAGAAGAGCTTGTCTGGGGATTAGGAAATGGGATAAGGGAACCAAGACCTTAGGAGACACTATTTCTGTGTCTCATATCTTTCTCAAATTTTATTTCTGTTCACTCAGTTAAAAACAGCAACAGGAGTGAGACAGTGGCAATGAATAGGATCGTTAGTGTATTATGAACGTTAAGAACATTATAGTGTATAGCGTATTGTGAACATTATAAATGAGTAATATCTACCCAAAGTTTATAAAACTTTGTCAAAGTTACGTAGAGATTACCACGTAAGACTCAAAATTGCAAATATAAACAAAAGAAAAATCCAACTCAAAATAACACTATTTATTGGTTTCTACATATATCTATTTTAGGTATTATCATATTTATTGGTTACTATCACTGTAATTAGGATTATGACTAAAGTAGTAGATCACTGTATCTAAAGAGTGCCCAGGAAATTTTTTTAAAAAGTTCTTTCATAACAACCATAATCCGTCTGATGTTGCTCTTGTCTAATACAGGGCTGCCATTACAAATGAAAAGATATTTGTCTCAAGCACTCAGTTAATTCTGTGTTTGCCTTAGATATGGTTCAGTGTTAGGTTCTCCCCAAATCATGAAGACCCCTGGCCAACCCCTACACCTCTTTTCTCTATCTTAATATATGAGGAAACTAAGGGGAAGCAGTCCCTTCATTTATCCAGGGACCATACTTAAATCTTATTTCTCTCCCTAGGGCCAACATATTTTCTCTTTCTCTTCCCACACCACCCTAGACTCAGCTAGCACCATCTTTCACCTGGACAACTGCATCTGTTTCCTATATCCATTCTTGTTCTCTATCTCCTTCACACGGGTCTCTGCAGCCTGAGTGATCTCTAAGGAACGTAAATCTAATTATGAATTGCCCTCCTAAAACTTTTTAAGAAAATATTTTTTATAGCAAGTTTTAGATTTAGAGCAAAACTGAACAGAGAATACAGAGTTCCCCTGTCCCACCTCCAACATCCCACTCTATCAACATCCCACACTCGAACAGTACATTTGTTATAACGGATGAACCTATGTGGACATATCATTATTGCTCCAAATCCATAGTCTACATTTGGGTTCACTCAATGTGCCTTCTGTGGGTTTGGACGAATACAATGATGTGTATTAATGATCATAGTATCAGACAGAGTAGATTTACTCCTCTAAATATCATCTGTGCTGTACCTATTCATCTCTCCCTCCCCAAATCCCTGACAGCTACTTATCTTTTTGACTGTCTCCATAGTTTTGCCCTTTCTAGCATATCAGATAGCTGGAATCATACAGTATGTAGCCTTTTCTCATTTGCTCTTTAATTTACTTAGAAATATGCATTTAAGGTCCATCCATGTCTTCTTATGGCTTGAGAGCTCATTTCTTTTTAGTGCTGAATAACATTACATTGTCTGGATATCTTGGTTGCTGATACCCACTATTGAAAGACTTCTTAGTTGCTTCCATGTTTTGGCAATTATGAATAAAGCTGCTATAAACATCTGTGTGCTGGTTTTTGTGTACACATAAGTTTTCAGTTTATTTGGGTAAATACCCAGCAACATGAGTGCTGGATGGTATGCTAAGAGTATGTTTAGTTTTGTAAGAAACTGCCACACTATCTTCCAGAGTGACTACGATTTTGCATTCCACCAGCAATGAATGAGAGTTTCTGTTCCTTCACATCCTTGTCATTAGGTACTGTCAGTGTTCTGGATTTTGGCCATCTCATAGGTGTGGAGTAGTATCTCATTGTTTTAATTTGCTTATGACATATGAAGCAGAGCATCTTTTTATATGGTTATTTGCCATCTTCTTTGGTGACATATCTGTTCAGATCTTTTGCTCATTTTTAAAATCAGGTTATTTCTTTTCTTATTGAGTCTAAAACTCTTTTAAAGAATCATTGAAATAAGTCCCAATCCTTAACAACTATCAAAAAGATCCTGCTGATCTTTCCCATCTATATCTTAAACTACAGTTTTGCCAGTGTTTTTTTCTTTTTTTTTGGTAATCTCCTTTATCGATTTCACCCATTCTCCCCATCCACCTCCCTCCTGGCAACCACCAGTTCTCTGTACTTAAGTCTGTTTGTTTCTTCTTTTTGGTGTTCATCTGTTTTGTTTCTTAAATTCTACATATGAGTGAAAAAATATGGTATTTGTTTTTCTCTCACTGGCTTATTTCACTTAGCATTTTACCGTCTGTCCATCCATGTTGATGCAAATGGCAAGATTTCATTCTTTCTTATGGCTGAATAATATTCCGTTGTATGTATACATACCACAACTTCTTTACCCATTCATGTATATATGGACACTTGGGTTGCTTCCACATTTTGGCTATTGTAAGTAATGCTGCAATAAACAGAGGGGTGCATATATCTTTTTAAATTAATGTTTTTGTTTTCTTTGGGTAAATACCCAGTTGTTGAATTACTGGATCATACGGTAATTCTATTTTTAACTTTTCGAAGGAAATTCCATACTGTTTTCCACAGCGCCTGCATCCATTTGCATTCCCCTTTCTAAAAAGCTCTTCCTATGCTGCTCTTCCAAATCCTTGAATGTGCCCAGTTCTTTCACAATGGCTATAAACCCCTGCTTGCACCATTCATTTCATGTGCTCATGTGCTCATGAAATGTGTGTCAGTAGTTCCTTTCATCCTTTAGAACTTTGCTGAAACATGTGTTCCTCAGGAAAGCCTTCCCCATACCACAGGGTCAGGTCTGTTGCTATGCACTCTCAGAGCCACATGTGATCCTGATCACAAGTGTAATTATGTGTCTAACACCTGTCTTTCACAGTAATATAGAAGCTTTGTGAGGCTCGGAACCATCTTTGTTCCCACAGTTGTGTGCTCAGTATTCAACATGGTGTTGGCACAAGCTACATGCTCAGTAAATATTTGCTAAATGAGCATTTGAGTGCTGATGGAAGTAACTTACACAGTCCTCTGTAAAGTTGAGCAAATTACTTAGACAATCTATCTACTTGTTAACCTTTGTAAAGTCACAGGTCAACTTGTTGCCTTTTTCCATATTCAGAATGGGAATAATAACTCCCTAAATACAAGGATTATTGTAAGGATGTGTGAATTAATTAAGAAACCGTTTGGGAGACTTTCACTCTCTAAATCCGATATGGTATTTGGGTTTTGGTAATTGTGTGGGTAATTAATGCCTTGTGGTATAGTTTAGAAAATTTAAGGTTTTCTTAAATTTCATGTATTTCTTAAGTAAAAAATTTAGTAGCTAAAATTAAGCTTTTGGTTTTTTTCTTTTTGGTTAACCCTTAAGTGATAGGCTTTATATTTACCATGATGTAATAAACCCAAGGAATAATTTAATAAATTGAGTACTTTAGAATAAGGTAGTTTGATCTTTGGTGAAAATAGCAATTTATATATTAATCTTCAACCAAAAATTTTATTTTTATTTCAATTCCAGTATAATTAACATACAGTTTTGTATTAGTTTCAGGTATACAATATAGGGATTCAACAACTCCATCTATTACTCAATGCTTATCAAGATAAGTGTAGTTTTAATACCTTTCACCTGTTTCACCCATCACTCCCTCTGCCCCAATCTGTTTGTTCTCTATAGTTAATAGTTTGTCTTTTGGTTTCTTTTCTTTCCCCTTTGTTTTGTTTTTTACATTTCACATATGAGTGAAATCATATGGTATTTGTCTTACTATGACTGACTTATTTCGCTTAGCATCATATTCTCTAGATCCATCCATGTTGTTGCAAATGGCAAGATTTCACTCTTTCTTATGAATGAATTATATATATATGTGTGTGTGTGTGTGTGTGTGTATATATATAAATTCATCCATAAGAAAGAATGAAATCTTGCCATATGTGTATATGTGTGTGTATATATATATGCCATATGTATGTATAAATATATATATATATACACACACACACATATATATAAAAAATTCATCCATAAGAAAGAATGTATATATATAGAATATATACATATATTCTATATATATATAATGAATATATATATACACACACACACATGCCTCATCTTTATCCATTCATCTATTGATGGATATTTGGCTAGCTATTGCAAATAATGCTGTATTAAACATAGGGATGCATATATCCTTTCAAATTTGTGTTTTTGTATTTTTTAGGTAAATACTCAGTACAATTCCTGGACCAAATGGTAGTTCCATTTTTAATTTTTTTCTATTTTTAATTTTTTGAAGGACCTCCATACTGTTTTCCTCAGTTTGCATTTTCCCAGTTTGCATTCCCACAAACAATGCATGAGGGTTCCTTTTCCTCCCCAATCTTGCCAACACTTGTTTCTTGGGTTTTTTGGTTTTAGCCATTCTGACAGGTGTGAGCTGACATCTTACTGTGGTTTTGATTTGCATTTCCCTGATGGTGAGTGAAGTCGAGCATCTTTTCATGTGTCTATTGACCATCTATATGTCTTCTTTGGAGAAATGTCTGTGTCTTGTGTCCAATTTCTTAATTGAATTATTTCTTTTTTTGGTTTCAAGTTGTATAAGTTCTTTATATATTTTGGATACAAACCCTTTTTCAGTTATGTCATTTGCAAATATCTTCTCCCACTCAGTAGATTGTCTTTTAGTTTTGTTGATCAACCAAAAATTTTGTCCTAGAAATAATTATGCAGCCTAAAATTTTGGAAATTTACTTTCTACTTATAAAATTTGCCCAAAATAGATTCAACAGAGTGAATGTTTTCTCTTTTTAATTAATTACTTCAGGGTTTTCTCATACCAATCATAGAAATTTTTTTTGAATTTTTAAAATTTTTTATTTTTTAAAGTTTTTTTTTTAAAGATTTTATTCATTTATTTGACAGAGATCATAGGTAGGCAGAGAGGCAGGAAGAGAGAGAGGAAGGGAAGCAGGCGACCTGCTGAGCAGAGAGCCCAATGCGGGGCTTGATCCCAGGACCCTGGGATCATGACCTGAGCCAAAGGCAGAAGCTTTAACCCACTGAGCCATCCAGGCGCCCTCCAATCATAGAAATTTATCATCTCACCTTTTCCTGAAGAATGGTGATAACATTTCTGATCCTGAACTGTGTTTCCAATCACCAGACATCACTTGACTACCTATGACCAGTGGTCTAAAGTTATTTAATATTTTACATCATATGAGAATTGAAGGGCAAAAACTAAGAGCTATGTTTTGCATAGCAAACATGTAAAGTAATAGTTTTACATTTTTCTTGCTCTTATAAACTTAATGTCATTAATCATCATTCTTAAAATACCAGGCATACTCTACCTTATTCTAAAACTATTGAAAAAAACATTTTTTTTTAAGATTTAATTTATTTGACAGACAGAGATCACAAGTAGGCAGAAAGAGAGGGGGAAGCAGGCCCCTTGCTGAGCAGAGAGCCCAATGTAGGGCTCAATCCCAGGACCCTGAGATCATGACCTGAGCCGAAGGCAGAGGTTTTAACCCACTGAGCCACCCAGGTGCCCCTAAAACTATTGAAGTTTAAACAAAAGGTAGTCATGGAATTAATCAGAACAAAGAAATGAACTTACCATATTGAATGTTAGCCTAAAAGGGGTAATATTTTTTTTTTTTAAAGTTGTCTCTATACACAACACAGGGCTCGAACTCATGACCCTGAGATCAAGAGTTGCATGCTCTACCAACAGAGCCAGCCAGGCACCTAAAAGGGGTAGATTTTAATAAAAATTCTATCAGATAATTTTCTCAGCTGTGATCCTGTATATTAAATATTATGAAATGTGAAAAGGACTCTGTCATATTAATTCATTAATAAAAAGTGCTTACTGAGTGCATTATTGGGCAAAGCCCTGTGCATACGGATCCCTGTGCATAGGGTCACAAAGAATGGAACAATCTCAGGAGACCCATTTAAGAAAACACTGAGGGGCACCTGAGTGGCTCAGTCAGTTAAGCATCTGACTTTGACTCAGGTCATGGTCTTAGGGTCCTGGGATTGAGCCCCACGTCAAGCCCCATGAAGGGCTTCACTCTCAGTGGGGAGTCTCCTTGTCCCTCTGCCCCTCCCCTTGCTCGTGCTCTTTCTGTCTCTCTCTCAAAAAATAAAATCTTAAAAACATTGAAAACTTATAGAAAAGACCTTGATGATGGCTTCTCCATTTTTCAGATTACTCAAAGAAAAGATGTTGGCAATGCAAGTTAAAATAGGTATTTTATTGAGAAACTTGCTTTGTCAGTGAGAGTAAAAGTTACAAATATTTTTATTTAATAAAATTAGCATATCCATAATCCTAAAAATATCCCTTAAAAAGCCTTTTTCTGAAACCTCAGATCATTCAGATCCAGAGTTTTCTCTTAGTGTTTCCCATGGAAAAAGATGCTGCTTATTCCCTTCATGCAAATAATAGAACATGTGTAGTATGCCTTGTTCACAAAACAAATTCTCCAGTTTGAGTTGCCTGCATGCATGTGAATTAGTATCTGTACTGCTGTCAGTATAAAAGTTTCCTTGTATAACAGTGAAACTTTATGCTTACTCCTGAGCATTCTGAGACTTATAATATGGTCATAAAAAAAAAAAAAAAAAAAAAAAAAAAAAGTCTTGCAGCAACATAGTTCTGCTGAAAAAACATCCCCATCCCCTAATTATAACATAAGGTTGGTAGAGGTTAATACTACACAATAAAGTGTAATTTACTCATTAAATACACCAGGCTTCCATGCAGGTTTTTTTTTTTTTTAAATTACATATTTGTTGCATTAAAAGGACAATGATTTAAATCTATAAATTATTCTCTAAATGGCTTTTACATGAGACATTAAAAGTATGAGAAAAATAAATACTTGAAACATGTTTTAAATAAGTTAAACCAGCACTAACACCTAATAATTAAGCAGAGGTTCAAAGATCACGTGAATAGATCTCATTTTAATTTTCTGGAGATAAAGCTTATCTGAGGGCAACACTGAATAATTTTCAAGTTTATAGATTTTTATACATGGATACTTTAAAAAGACTAAATTCTAGATGTAAAAGGATGTTTTTAAATCTTGACTTGAACTATATAGTTTTTTTTCTTTTTAACTACAGGAAATATATTGATAGGGCTATCCTTCTGCACTGTAATGCTTTGTGCAGACACCAGAATTGATATATGAAAATAATTTTGTTGATAAAATTTAAACAGAACTGGTGAAATTATCTTTAGTACAAAAGTTAAAGATTACACTTCTGTTGATAGATTTTGAAGATAATATTTATGGTGGTTCTTATTTGCCTCGTGTGGCACAGATTAGTACTTCGGATACAAAAGCAAGAAAAAAATGAACTTAAAAAAATATTGCTTCTAGTTTTAATGAGTGCTATTTGTCAAGAAAATGGGAAAAACAGAATAAGGAGGCCTTTTATCAGAATCATTAAAATTCTTTTTCAGGAGATGCTATCAGTAAGTGCAAAGTTGTCATAATTTAAGGTCCATTTCCTGCCAGCAGTATACTTGCCAAATTTGGCGATTTAAAGCACAAGTACATTGGATGTCAACTTTGAAATTATAGCAAACAGATGCAGGGAGCAATATTTTAAAATGCTGACATAACTGGCTTATAGTATTTATTATACTTACTATCAGAACTTTAAATTTTGACTTGGTTTTCTCTTTTTCCTAAGTTAGTTTCCTGTGAGTTTTCCATACACATGAAATCACAAAATGTTCGCATGGGGTAGGAACACATCTCACCGAATTTTACAGATGAGGCAACTGAGATTCAGAGAGGTTGTGATTTGCCCAAGGTCACACAGCTTATAAGAAACAGATCTGGGGCTAGAATATGGCCCAGGGTTGTCTCCTTCATAACTTAGGTCCTAGGGGATGGGGATGAATGCTCAATCTCTTTATATCTTTCCGGTGGGGGCGTGTTTGCATTAATAGCAGGGGGACTCTGTTCAGGACTCTTTTGAAGAAATCTATAAAACAAGTACTCATCCCGAAATTCATACTCGTTGGTGATATGTTGGATGACTCCCCCTTGCACCAGTCTATCTCCATATATCACAGCTTCACCGCGGTCAGAGGCAAGGCCAACTTCAATGAGCCAGTTCACCAGGTCACAGCCACAGAAGGTCCCGGCAGACGTCTTTGCACCACACCTGTATGTCAAAGGAATGTTTCACCCATATGTTCTGTAAACCCGGTATCAGCACTGCATGATAGAGGACAAGCAAGGAAAAACAGGAGACAGGGAAACACAGCATGATAGTTAAAAGTGTGGCAGGAATGAAACTATTCTAAATATAAAGGGTTTGTTAACTCACCTGACCCTAGAAAGATCCACCAGAAAAAAATGCCAATAATGCTTGTGAAAACAGAAACATGTAAAAAAAACAACATAATGTAAATGCGTCTACAAAGAAGCATTCTTTTTATAGTACCTGGCCTTTTACAATCAGATCCATTCTGTAGACAGCTGAATATTGTTCATTTCATAAGTTATACTCTTAGGTATAAGAGGTCACTTAATTGCCTCAGGAACATTAATATTTTTTGTAAGCTCCTAAGAAGTGACATTTTAACTAAACTACTCAAATCAAACATCATTATTTTCTGTTTATCACAGTGCCCACAAGTAGTCTTTCTTCTTGCCTTCTGCTGCAAGACAACCTTACTGATAACATTCGTCAAGAAATATTGCATTAGGGAGGCACCTGGGTGGCTCAGTGGGTTAAGCCTCTGCATTTGGCTCAGGTCACGATCCCGGGGTCCTGGGATCGAGCACCGCACCGGGCTCTCTGCTCAGCAGAGAGCCTGCTTCCCCCTCTCTCTCTGCCTGCCTCTCTGCCTGCTTGTGATCTCTCTCTCTCTCTCAAATATATAAATAAAATCTTTAAAAAAAAAATATGCATTAGGAAATAAGGAAGTGTGATCTATCTTGCTACCAATGTTGGGTCTTGAAAATGTACTTTGATCATGAATCTGTTTCTTGATTATTTAAAATCTGTCTTCCTAATGCAAATAAGGGGTACCTCACATATGAAAAAATAAACAAGGGGGGAGGAAAATGTAAAAGAACCAATTAAAGGAATTCTGTAGGTTTTCATACAAATAGGTAAGAGATAACATGAGTCTGTCCACAAGCATTAGTCAAGCTGTAAAACTTGCGGTGCTTGACAACATGTAACAGCGGGTGAAAATCAAGATGAAACGAGAAGTAGGTGACAAACATTTTAGACCACTTAACCACCAATGAGTATAGCGTTCCATATAAAAATTAGAAAAGAGATTAATAGACGTGAAAGATCTTTTCAAGGACATAAAATATTTTAACATCAGTATTTTGCTTAGTAACGTCTTAATTTCTGCTTTGCAATGACAGATATCACTTTGAACAAAAGCCTGGCTATTACAACTTCTGTCTGATCCTTCTCCCTGCTTGTTGATTTTTAACTTATGGCCCAACACTTATAACCCCAGACACGAACTGAATAATAATTGCTTCCTAATGACTGACCAGGCAGCTCCAGTCGCAGCACTGGAACCATAGAGAGTCGCAGGGAATGTGCCGCCGTACAGAATGCTGAGGGACAGGGCCACCAGCTAGAGCCTCTTCATCCGGAAGCAAAAGCCATGCTTCCGACAGTAGGCTGTCACAGTGGGCCTTTCTTAAGTGGAGTGCCCTTTCTTCATTTAAAAAAAATCATTGTAAATCGTTGGAAGTATCCACAGATGGAACTTTGAAATCATTCTCTTTATGGGTCTTTAAGGGTAAGAAACTAAATTTTCTTCATAGTTGACCATTCCCAGAAACTGAGCGAGGACAGGACCATCATATAGATTTTGCTATCCAATTCAAAGATGTGTTATCTAACTTTAGAAAAGAGGAACACAAAGGTTTAGAGAATTGAACTGGCCCAATTCTCAGAGCTCGTAAGTGGCAGACTCAGGAGCTGGCCTCTGGGATCATTGACCGACCAGTGAGTCCCCTTTCTACTAGCTATACCACGCTACCTTTTGTTTATAATAATATACTGGCATAATAATAAAATTATACTGGCAAAAATTATATATTCATAATAAAATAAATATTGTTTTTTTATTTATAAAAATAAAAATTATATATTTATAATAAAATATACTGTCATAATATGTGTAAATATGTGTAAATATAGCATCTGAATGGTAATCTGCATAAATTTTCAAATACACAGTTACAGACATAAAAGTACTTGGCTTTTTATGTTATTTTTTTTCTCTTTTATAATAACCAAAAGTCATGGCACTGTAACATTCATTTCCTGCTGCATGCTCCATACCTTAAGGATTAGAAGAATAAATATGATGTCATAGACTGAAGATTAGGACTTGAAGGGAAAAATAAGCAGCAGAATTAATAAAAGACAAATTTCATTTCATTTTCTTGACAATGTCATTAATAATATGAAATAACGTACCGAAAGGAGATGGAGAATAGAAAGCCACATCTAAATCCAGTGTATCTCATAGCTTTGTGAGAGACACTAATGGCCAATATGAAGTGAATGTTAATATTTGACTACATCTTGGTTCATTCTCAATTAGTTTTCACATTTTATATGGAAATCAGAAGTTATATAACACTTAGAAAGTGTAAAAATCTTACAAATGCTTTTTCTCAAATTATAAACTGACCCATAGCTATTTTAACTTTTACATGTAAATATGCTATTGAAAATAACCATGTAGTTAGTTACAACCACATTACTTAGCCTGTTACAAACCAAAATTAATCATCAAAAATATAATTATCTGGAATTTGTACTTACCTTCTTTCCTTGACAATGTTTCGGATACAGAGGTCACGGTGATAATGGATAAATTGTTGACAGGTCATTTTTATTTCCTCAGGAACAGGAGAACCCCTTTTTTCTGCAGTCTCTTTATTATTCCATAGGAATTCAAGTCTAAAAACCAAAATTTATGGAGGCCACTTTTAAGGAAAGGAAAACACTGAGAGGAAACCCCTTCTTGCTTATCATTCCATCAACATGGCTCTTCCAAAGGTATCATCTTCAACATGCAGATATGGTTAGTCTCTGAAGCAAAGACATAACCTGAGCTTGGTTTCCTGGTCCAAGCAGGTGGGGTGGGGGTGATGTGAGGTAGGGTGGGAGACTTGAGACTTGAACATTTTATAAACCCTCCTGACATATTTGATCTATTTCAGTTTCTGCCAATAAATGAAGTTCTTTTCTTATTCTACATTCTACTGTTTTAAGCTGCAAAAATAATTTACAGAGATCAAATATTTTATTTAATCATTTTCCAATTTCAGTACCACGGAGACAAATACTGGGATCTGGAATACAGCATGATTCTGTTTCTGTAACGTTGGACAATTGATCTGTTGACTTTTTTACCCAGTCAACATTATGAAGCTGATAACTAAGTTCAGTGACTTTTCTATTACGCTTTTCTTCTTTACTGAAATGATTATGACCCTAGTAGCGACATCTTAATAATGTAATGATATCAATGATGACAAAAAAGAAGAAGGAAAAGAAAGAAGAGTGACCATCTACTGGGCACTCTTTATATAGTTGGTTGGATAAAATCCACCAGTACTTCCAATTTCTACCAATTTTGATTTTGAAAACAAATGAGGATATACAAAGTCTTGTGCCCCCCCCTTTCCTGCCACTCCCAAGTTGGAGAATTCCCACTTCATTATTGTATTCACACTATCATTATTATAAAGAAATTCTCAATCTGAATCCAAAGAAACTCAACAAGCAATTAAAAAAAATTTAGAAAGAAGAGAATTTTAGTTTTCTATAAATTGTCAGTTTGATAGAAAGAGAAATCCTAATATCAAAGGAGAATCTGTATTGTCAAATACAGACCTTTGGGGGCACAACATCTATGATTTCCATTTCTAAATACATTTCTTTTTTTTTTTTTAAGATTTTATTTATTTATTTGACAAAGATCACAAGTAGGCAGAGAGGCAGGCAGAGAGAGAGGAGGAAGCTGACTCCCCGCTGAGCAGAGAGCCTGATTCGAGACTCGATCCCAGGACTCTGGGATCATGACCTGAGCCGAAGGCAGAGGCTTTAACCCACTGAGCCACCCAGGTGCCCCTCTAAATACACTTCTAAGTTTCATTTTACTTTATGTAGTTAATGGTATAGGTAGAAGTCTGCATCCATCATTTCTTGTTAAAATGCAAATGACAATGTTGGATTAATCAGAGTTCTCCCAATATTTTCTCCATAGTTATTAACAAAAGATATGTGAATCAACATATAACCTTTCTTCAGTGTTTAACAATTTACCCTTTCTGTAGTCTCCTAGCAGTTACTGAAGGCTTAAAAAATATCAGTATCTTAATAGAATGGCCTTGTCATTACCTTTACAGATACAGATTTATTTCAAAACTAAATTTACCTTCTTTTGAAAGGCAGAATGATTAAATGTTTGTCCAATCCAAAGATGCCAAAGGAAATAAATCCCTATGGAAAAGGAAAAGTTACAGTTATGAATTCAACACTAGAATGTTAAGGACTGGGGAGTTATGGAAACCACCATATTTAGTGCTGAGGGAAGCAAACCCATAGTGATTACAGCAATAGTTTAAATGGAACACAAAAGTCAGGCCCTCTATAAAGTTTAATGCCTGGAGGCAGGTATGACTTGGCTGCCTCTTTCTAGTCATCTATCCTACTAATTAGTTGGAGCACTGGTTTAAACCAGTCCTGAGCGACCACATCTGCATCCTAGCTTATTGAAGAAAAATGAAAACATTTCAGAGCTTTATGTCTTTTTTTCCTCTTTTTAAAAAAAGAAAATAAATTATCTCCTACTGGGATTAGGTATTTACTATTTCTCTATTAACACTTCAGAAATTATAGAATTATATAGTATTTGGTTCTAAGGAAGTAACTGAACTTTATGTGAACTTTACGTGAAATGAAGTTGGCTAGGTGCTTATAGAAAGGCTTTGAAGACTTTGGGAGTGATGAAGCAAACTGGCGCTGGAAGTCAGCCACAGATCTGGACAGTTGCGCCTGCTTGGGGAGGCAAGAGGCTGGGAACTGCCATTTGTCAGGCGCAGCGGTATAAGGATCTAAGTGCTGGTTGGTAGGAGGTGGGATGGAGAATGTAATACACTGCACAAAGGATCTACCTTTCTTTACCCCCAAACTGTAAACAACCAAAAAGGAATGATCTTACTATAACACCTAGATGGGATGTGGTGGTGCTGGTGGTGTGGGGAGGGTCTCTCTCTCTCCTTTGAAACACCGGGGCCATTAGCTGAGGGGGTACCATTTCAAATGCAACATTCCTGGCATTAGCTTCTTTGTGAAGCCCTCTCGGTCCCAGTGTTGGGGTGACTCAGCCTGGAGTGGCTTTGCTGAATACAAAATGCTGAGTGAAACTATGAGTTTTCAACCTAGTATTTTATAGGTCTTGGGCACAAAATCAGATCTCACACAGAGTCACAAAGTGAGGTAGGCATCAAGTAGCCCAGGATACTTGAATCTATCTGTAATAAGCTGAACAGGTCACTTATCTATCTGGACAGAGTCCTTTTGCTCCCACAATAATGGCTAAACAAACCAGAAATATTTCAAGAAATTAATGTTAGGATAAAATGTGCAAGAGTGTTTACTGATAAATGTTAACTGACTCAGTCAGTTATTAAAACCAGTGTTTTCAAACACAGTATTTTTTTCAACCTGATACTTAGTCTGGGGACTAAGGTTCCCTGATTAAAAGGTAAGGGATTGAAAACAATCACATTTTGAACTTTACACATAAAAGTATCCTCCCAATACACAAAATATCACTTATCCTTAAATATCCATTTTAATAGTGACATAAAAACAATAGCATCTATTATATTAGTTCTCCATGGAACTTTCATTTCTAATTTGTAAACTGGGAATGATAATGTCTACTTTGTAGGTATTCTTTATGTTTAAATAAGATGACTGATGTATAATGCTTAATAATGGTTGGCATATAGTAGTAGGTCCTCAAGGAACAGTAACTAACTATTCCTGGTCAAAATTTATTTACCCACCACAAGATTTTCTAAAAAAGATTTAAGTACCTATTGTCCGAGAAACATCGAAATATAAATGAAACAACATTCATCAATTTAAGTGACTAAACTAAAGGCTCAGGGAAGGTAACTCTTTTTCCCAAAGTGACTTATTAAGACAGTCACAAAGTTTAAAAAGAAACTGGAACATCTTGTCCCTGCTTAAATTATCATTCTTTATTTTAAAACCAAAGCAAAAAACGATTTGGTGTTTCTGATTGAAACACTCCGTGTGCATTCTGATGACTTGAACCAATATGGAGACCGGCAACAGCTGTCAGCTGCCATGCATACCAGCAGCTGGCAAACCAACTAAAACCCTTTTGATTTAAAAGAAAACAACAACATCCGCACCACTACCCCCTAAACAGCCCATCCAGGAAAACAAAACAAAACAAAAAAAGCCCTCAAAGTTCTCAGGAAATAAATACCTGGCCAAAGTTAAATACAGCACAGAAAAACTGTAACTCAACATAGAGCCTTCCAGGTTCTTGGTTGAATAGCCACCATAAACAACTGGAAAGATTCTGTAAAGGAAGGAAAAATAGTATTTTAAAATGAAGCTAGCTGATCATTTCTCCCTACCCAGAACACAGTACAATAACTTATCTGCTTAATAATTAGGCAGAAAAAGACTAAAAGGAAAAACACTGAGAGAATATAGAGGCTTTGTCTTTTGAACAAGAGGTTTCAACCTCTCCTCTTGACAGATGTCATTCAAACAGCATCTAATTTGATCAGACTTGAAGCAAGAAGACATGCGCTATAATACAGAAGCTTACATAACACATCAGGTCTGCCGACTAGCCCAAGACAGGACTGATTTTAAAATTAGTTCTACACAATGAAAACAATCACATCACTAAGCAGCAGTTCTTGGCAGCATTTCTTACTTTTTGATTTTTTTCTTAAATAGCAGTTAAAATGGTGCTGGCTGATCGCTTTCTATGCAACCAGCGTCCCCATGTAAAAAGGTTTCTTCATATGTTATACGGTCTACCTCTCATCTCTAGGCAAGTTACACTTGAACCATCTCAAAGAATTCTATAATAATAACTGATAATGCACAAAAGAGGACATAAAACATTCTAAAAGCCCCTAGGAATCAGAGAAATGCATTGAAAAAATGCCGCATTTCACTGACAAAATGATAAAATTTAAAAATTTTTAACATTCAGTGCTGGTGAGAGTACTTTGACAAATCTATACTATTCCTTTAGAAAACAATTTGAGAGAATGCATCCAACTATTTGTACTCTTTGGTCTAGGTTTCCCAACTTTGAGAGTCTATCACACAGAAATATTACATGGAGATGTCTATTTAAGCATTTTGAAGAACTAGGAATAACCATCCCTAAGAAAGTGGTTGAGTAAATTATAACATATCTCCTCTATGGTTTATTGAGGAGCCATTTCCAGTAACAGTTAGGAACAACTATGTAGCAACATGAAAATGGTTGACACAGGTGACAAAACAGGGTATAAATCTGTATGACAATTAGAACCAGGAAAAGTGTATTAAAAATAGAAGGCAGTAATCTTATAACTATCCATGGTATGAGGTGGTTGTGTTATTTTCATAATGAAAAATTCTGTTTAAAAGCTTATTTATCTGACGAATGTCTCCTGCGAAACCATGTCGGCATTTATCTACTGAGGTCGGTCTTGCAAGGAATATGTTAGAATAAGCAGCCCTATACACAGCATGGAGATACCTGGTCTTACCAAATTACAGGTTCAGAGACTAAACCAAATAGGCTATTTGGGCATTTAGGCTACAGAGTGCTGTGAATTCTTCACCTCCCTTGCTCCCCAAAACAGCTCAAGGTCGGGATTCAGACTGGCCTGGTTGCCACCCACCCCTCCCAGAAGCAGCGACTAAGTTTCCCCCAGATGCCTGAATAAAATCTTTGCCAAACATTTAAAGAAATGGCCCCCAAACAAAAATCAGAAGAAACATTTACAGCAAACAGGCCAATAATGAGAAGTAAACACAGCAACACGTGTCGAGTCAGTTGCTGATCTCCGCTCTGTAGATACTGCTCCTCTTCCTGGACTAACATGCAGCTCTGGGAGTTACAGCGACTCACACAATGATCATCTATAAGACAGTAAGTACAACAATTTGTAATCAGAGCTTTTTATTTGAATGCATTTTAAATTCATAATGACTTTCAAAGCAAACCAGCACATATGCACATTCAGCTCAGAATCAGTATATTATTTTAGAAGGAATCTGAGGGCGGCTCTTTCATGTGGTCTCAGGAGAGTTCTACTTGTCAAGTGTTTGCATCTGGAAAAATACAAGGAGGATGCCACAGTTCCCTTCTACACTAGTCAACAGTGTAATGTATATATATTTTAAGACCAGGTTTACTGTATCTACTTAGAGAAATTTTCTTTTCTTTTTTCTTAAAGATTTTATTTATTTATCTGATAGAGCACAGCAACAGAGAGAGAAGGAGAAGCAGACTCTCCCTCTCCCTGAGCAGAGAGCCTGATGTGAGACTCGATCCCAGGCTCCTGGGATCATGACCTGAGCTGAAGGCAGATGCTCCCACCCAGGTGTTCCTTTGACTTACAGAATTTTTCTACACCAAGAACACACAAGTACTTTTTATTAAAGTAGGATCAAACAAAAGCACAGTTTGGCAGCCTGCTTGCTTTTTTTTTTTTTTTTTTAGCTTAGCAATACTGGATGCTTCCCTCATGCCATCAGCTATTATTATAGCCATTAGCTATATATTATAAATCTATCTATATCTATACCTTGATTTCTTTTTTTAAAGCTAAATTAATAGCTCATGATTCATCGGTAACAAATTTACATATTGGTCATGGATATCCTAGTTTCGCTAAATGTAACACAAATGTACTACTCTCCCTTGCTTTTCATTAAAGAGTTTAAAACCTGCCTTAGAAAAGACCTTTAAGAAATCAGAACTGTTAAACACCGTTCTGCTGACATACAGAAGCAAGTCCAAATTATAGGTATGACCCTTCTCTGGCCTAAAGGGGAGGGGCCTTTCCCAAGAAACCTGTGCTCTCCTGCCTCAGCTCCAATATGGCCATGGCCTCAAAAGCAGGGGAAAATATGTTTTACAAAATGGATGTCTAATTGAACATACAGTCTGATTTTTAAAAGTCAAAGATGAAACCACAATTTTACAGCTCTTAACTCTCAAGGCAATCATAAAAATTTGTATTTCCTAGAGCCTGTTTCCAGAAAAGGACATACACAGTCATTAAATATGGCCCAACATTTTGGCTAACAGCACAGGGAAGTGCACAGTGTTGATATGTGAAAAGAAAGCAGTCTGCCAAACTGTCTCTCTAGTATGAGCCTACTTTAATAATAATTATTTGTGTATATCTTGGTGTAGAAAAATTCTATCTCAGTATATATAATAAGCCTGGTCTTAAAATACTGAGTACAGATACTATAAAAATGGATAAAAATAAATTTTAATATCTTTCATTTACCTTTCTTACACATTGCAACATTGATTTTGCCTTTGTGCTGTGCCAGTGTTTTGGGGATGAGGAATTAATTATACTGCTAAACTCTAAAAATTCTCACTTGTTCATAGTTTGTTTTCCTTCAACCTTTCTTTATTTCAGGCTTAAGGAATGATACTAAATTATATGAGTAGATGAAGTCCATATATGATGGCTTTCTTTCTGTATAACTTTTGCAAATAGGATCAGAAAATGTTAAGACGCTCCTACATAAAAGAGTTCTCAGGAATCAGCATTATTCATGAAGAAAATGACAGATAAGGGGAACATAACGTAATTTTCAGAGACAAAAAATGTTAAATTACACATTGAAGTCGTTGACAGACTTTATTATTAGGTGTATTGCATAGGGAGAAAACATAAGGAGGAAAGCCTTGGGAATTATGATGTAAAGTAAAGAAACATTAGTTTAAGCGAGTGGCATAAAAAACTGAAAGACAGTTGAACTGAATGCCAAATGGGGTTTCCTAGCAGAAAGTCAGTGAAGGCTCAACATCTGATACATTTTCACTTCCTTCTATAGGAGTGTGAGTTCCACTATTAAGATTCATTGCTAGCAGGCTGCCTCGGTGGCTCAGTGAGTTAAGCCTCTGCCTTTGGCTCAGGTCATGATCCCAGGGTCCTGGGATTGAGCCCCGCATCAGGCTTTCTGCTCAGCAGGGAGCCTGCTTCCCCCTCTCTCTCTGCTGTCTCTCTGCCTACTTGTGATCTCTCTCTCTCTGTGTCAAATAAATAAATAAAATCTTAAAAAAAAAAAAAAGATTCATTGCTAGCCAGCAGAGAGCAGCCAAATATAAACCCTGCTTGGCTCATAACAACCACTATAATGCAACTCTGTTTAATGAGCATTTACTAAGTATTCCAAACACTCTGCTAAGTGATTTGCGTACATCGTTACTTATAATCCTCACATTTCTTATATAAAAGTGAAATGCCTTTGGCAACAATACAGTTGACATATGTTTTGTCATGAAGATGGCTTTGGGGCGTTTTCCTTTCTAACTTAATTATAAATAAGCATAATCAATGAAAGTGCACTGCAATTTCACCTAAGTGTGTTCAGTTGTTTTCAGTAATTTGAATTCCATTGTGCACGCATGGGGATGGTCCAAGATGGTGGCAGAGGAAGACCCTGAGCACATCTCCCACAGACACACCAGATCTACCACTCTCTATGGAATAACTCCCACCTAAAAAGAACTGAAGACTAGCTGAACTGCTTCTTCCACAACAAGGGGAAAATGGCCACATTGAGCCAGGCAGGAAAGGCAGAAATGCAGTCTTACAAAAAGCTCACCAGGGGTGCAGCAACTCACAATAGGGAAGGATTCACAGGTTTAGAACTCTCCAGCTCGGGAACCACAACTCTTGGGACCTGCACTAGACAGATGAGGCCCCAAACATGGGGCTTATGTCCAGGGGGCCCAAGGGCTGTGAAGATCTGAGATACTCCTTTTGAGGGGCTCATGCATGGACTCACCCATCTGGGCAAGCAGCACAAAGGCAGCAGTTTGAGAGGTGGCTGGATTATATGTGAAGGAGATTCAACTGCTAATCTTAAAGATTCATGGGAATTTTCCTTGTGGATGGAACTGCTGGAGAGTGCCAATTTTCGCACTCTTCCTCTACCTTGCTAGGGAGGCAGGTGCGGGCATACATAACATGGCTAAAACCAAGGCATGTCCCTCCCAGAACGCTCTTCTCCAGCTCTGCTAAAATTGCAGATGTGCCCCACCCCGGATGCTCTTTCCTGGCACAAGCATGTCCCACACCCAACACTCTCCCATGGCCTTGCTAAAACTGGCGGGCAAACTCAATCCACACAGAGGCCACTCAACTGCCTAGTTCTGGTGGCTGGAGAGGCCTGTGCATCTGGGGTCCATGGGTAACAACTGAAAAGATTGTGCTGAACAGGATACTATATCCTGGGCAATATACAGACAGCAAACTGAAATACAGCCCCAGACTGCACATGGAAAAGACCCATTTGATTGTCCAGAAGCTTTCACCTGAGGGACGAACTTCAGGTTAAAGCCACACATCTAAAGGCTGCAGAAGCACTCTCAGAGGACATAAGCAGGGACACACCACCTGTGCACACCTCTCCCCTGAACTTGGCCTTGCCACAGCTCACTGGTATCTCCCAGAAAGGATCTTTTATACTTGACTGAAGCCCTGATTTTTGGCAACTATCACCCAGGGGATACCTGCAGATCTCCTGGTCTAGAGGTCAGCAGTGTCTAGGATTGTGGTCCCACGGGATTGTATATATTTGCATACTTTAACAGCTGCTGCCTGAGGACCTGGCTTCTAATCTGCCTGGACCTAGGTCCCTGCCTTTGCACGGGTCCAAAGCACACCCTCACCAACTGAAACCATCAAGAATAAATCAGGCTGATAATCGCAAAGGGTCTAGCGACAACCAAGAGCTAAGGCAAGGTTGAAACAGACTGCTGATTATCAGAGGGGAAGGGGGTTAGGGCAGGGTGAAAAGAGTGAAGGGGTGGTAATAAGACTTATTGTGGTGATCACTGTGTCATGTATACAAATTTTGAACTACTGTGTTGTACACCTTATACTAATATAATGTTACATACCAACTTTAGCTCAAGTAAACAAATAACCTGAAATTCAGACCACAACTGTAATTCAGTCTTTTACTTTGTATGTCAAAGGTTTTTAGTTTCAAAAATTTTTCTTATTTTGTAAGAAAGGGTATATTGAAAGTATATAGATTCAAAAGATAATTAAGCACTAATTGGTCTTGGCCCCAAAGGAAATGAGTGGGGGAAAAGTCTCAGCTGTTAAAATAAGAAAAAAGTCCAAAAAAAAAAAAAGGAAATGGTGCATGTGGCAAACTTCTTGGAATCATTACACGGGTTAAATTTATTGGAAAAATGTGTATATAATACCACCAATTACTATATTATAAGAACTTTATTATTTTTTATTATTATTTGTTTAAGTAGGCTCCATACCTACTGTGGAGTCCAATGTGGGGTCTGAACTCACAAACCTGAGACCAAGACCCAGCTGAGATCAAGAGTTGGATACTTAACCAACTGGGTCACCCAGGTTCCCCGAACTTTATTTTTTTAAATGAGTACTCTATCCATGAACAATTATTACCCTATCAGCACTTCTCCCCAACTTATTTGAGATTACATAAGCAGTGTAGCGTCTGTGAAATCCTAAGCTGAAATCTTTTAAGGTATAAGGATAGGACTCTTCTGTTCCTTAGGCCCATGCTCATAGCTGGAGGCACTTACTTTTCTCAAATGAAGGAGTCACAAGCCCACTGGTGCTTGTGTTTGCTACCGGCTCAACGGACGGGCAGTGTGATCCACCATTTCCCATGGAGCAGGAGCAACAACCTAGGTAGATAAAATAGCACAGGAGAATAAGGCCCAACCACAAGAGAAATGGATAACTTCTAGAGATGCCAAACCATACCAAACCAGACAACCCACCCACTCGTACACACACACACACACACACACACACACACACACATTTCCCATGCAGCCACAATGGAAACGTGTTCACATGATGTCTATCAAGAAGAATTTACATGTGCTTATTTGGAGGTTAACATTTAAAGAACAGCAGGCAAAGGACTGGCCCTTTTACATATTGTCTCCTCATTGCATGACAAGGAAGAGTATTTCTATCCAGCTGTTTTTATTAGTTACCACTGTGCTTTGACAACTAAGAATTTGAACACTTTCTTCAACTACAGCTTTTACTTCATCACTCCTTAAAAACATGCCCTAGTGCTCTATTGTTTACTGTAGTCAATTGAAACTCCTTGGCCTGAATTTGAAAGCTCCTGAGGACTTGGCCCCTCTTTCTCCATCCAACCACCCCCACTATCTAACAAGGCCCTTCTTCCCAGACAATTCTTTTTTTTTTTTTTTTTAAGATTTTATTTATCTATTTGACAGACAGAGATCACAAGTAGGCAGAGAGGCAGGCAGAGAGAGAGGAAGGGAAGCAGGCTCCCTGTTGAACAGAGAGCCCCATGTGGAGCTCGATCCCAGGACCCTGGGAACATGACCTGAGCTGAAGGCAGAGGCTTTAGCCCACTGAGCCACCCAGGTGCTCCAATTCCCGGACAATTCTTTAGCGTTCTCCATCAACCCCATGCCTGTTCAGGTCTGCAGACTAGTTAGGCACGCGCGCAATTCCCACTCTTGTTAATTCTTTGAAATCATCTCCTCCTTTATGTTCAGCTCAAGACTTGCTTCTTTCAAGAACGTGTTTCCTACCAGTCTAGAAAATGCAGTCAAAACAATCTTATTCTTTTGTCTTCTCAGACATACACTGCTGAAAATCCCTTGCTGCTTTATAGGCTGATTGGTTTATGGAAGATGCCTTGAGACATCTGCTTTATAGAGCTATAGCTTCTCCTCCACATAGTCAGAGGGTGCATGCAGTAGCCTTTAGTTATTGAAAATTTTATTTATTTACGAGCAGGGGGAGCAGGAGAGGGAGAAGCAGATGTCCCGCTGAGCAGGGCACCTGACCTTAGGACTCTGGGATCATGACCTGAGTGGAAGACAGATGCTTAACCGACTGAGCCACCCACGCACCTCATGCAGTGTCCTTTAAACACAGATATAAGACATGGTGCTCCTTCACATGGATTCTTTTTTTTTTTTTTCTAGTGTGGATTCTAATAGAATAACAACTTCAGTGACAAAGTGTATTAAAATTTAATACGCTAGAAAAAGGAATAATGCCTAGGCTGAAATTTTCATTGATAACATGATTTAATTCTTCAGCAGTGTTCTTAAGAGAAAAGATTTCAAAGTATAAAAACCACCATCTATAATAAGGTATTAGAAGTGTCTTTCTATATTTAAGATAATGATGCCATCTCAAGGTTAAAATAGAACCACAGAATAATAGAAAAGAAAATACAGAGATCATCTGGCCCAGCCCTCCTATCTTCAGAAGTTTGAAGGCTTAAGTCAGCTAAGATGAAATTGTTCAGAAAACAGACATAAAGCGAGCCCAGTTCAATGACATACATACAGGGCATGCACAGAGCCTGACATGGGACTTGATCTCATGACCCCAAGATCAAGAAAGTTCCCTGAAGCAAAACACTTAGGATACAGGCTATATAGGCACGTAAGAGTGTCTTTTTATGTCGGTATCATACCTGTTTCTGGGATAGAACTTGTAAAAGGTTCTGGTTCGTTTGCTGACCCTGGACTCTCCTCAAAGGCAGCGTTCCCAGGCTCTGCTGTTTTGTGGTTCTGAGACTGGTCGAACCCTTCATAGCGTCCTGCTTGGGTGGTGCGGTTCATGCACATGAGTGATATGCCAGCTATCACGATGCTGCAGAACAGGGTGACTGCTGTGATGACCATCTGCCAGTATTGCAGAGAGACATTAGGCCACTTTGCATAATCCCAGCTTGATCACCTTAGTAGCACAACTTAAGAGAATTTTTGTTTGGTGGGAAAGGCAATCTCTCCACAGCTATAAATGCTCTGGAACAGTGGTTCTCAAAAAGGAGTAAGAATATGAAAGGGAGCAAGTTATTTGAAGAGAAATTAGGATTAACTTGAAGAGAAAATAAGATCTGTAGTGGCTTCTTTCACTCTCCATCAATATCATTGGTTTCCTCTGTAAGCAAGCTAAATGACTGCTTACAGACCTTTTTTATTTCAGTTTTTGCTTGCTTTAATACGGCATTCAAGCATACTTCAACAGGAGACACTGTTATGGTAATAATACTAAACATAAATAATTCTGACTAATACTAATTGCATACTAACATATGCCAGCACTGGTCAAAGTCTTTTATACATCTAATCTTGTTTATTCCCACAGCGACCCAATAAAATTCAAAATTATGAAATAAAAAAGAGGATAAGAAATCAAAATCTCTTGAAGGTTTTTTTTTTAAGAACAAAAACACACATCCTTGAGGCTAGCCCTAGAGAATTTTGATCAGCAGATACACTATGGCTTATCAAAAACATTTTTCCCCAGGTACTTATTGTTCTAAAATTTATACTTATAATAGGATTGAAAGTCAAGAACATGGCTTTTATTACTACTGCTGACTTACTAAATAGCTTTAAATTAATCACTATTTCCTCCAGTAGAGAAAACAGAATTCACAAGTGGGTTTAAGATGACCCAATAAGTTTCAAGCATTTGGAAATCCTCAGCTTAAAATGGATGAAGACCTATAAAATCTTCACCACAGTTCAAAGTGTGACTTAACAAAGTGATATAGGATCACTAGTGGGCTATACAATAAATTGGAATAGATTTTCAAAATAACTTTAATATAAGTTATAGCAAAACACAGGAACAAAGGAAAAAGAGATGTTCACAAGAAAAAAAACTATCAGAAACCTCTTCTTACCTGCTCCTTTCCATAGAAGAAGGCTGAGTCAATGCTATCTCCATTATGTTTTCCAGTTATCAGAAGAACACCAACAAGGAGAGCAGGAATTCTGGAATAAGGTTTAGAGAGAGAATGAGACAATGAATAGTAACTGTGTACATGGAAACATATAGGCAAACAGAAAACTATCCACTTACCCCCAGCCAGATATTATGATGATTCCAACAGGAATTTGTACACTCTCTCTCTTTTTCAAAAGAAACAAAGAAATTGCCAGAAGGCCTAAGAACAAGAAACAGAAATTGAAAGGTAGATGGTTACTCTCGATGTTGATCAGACCTCAGAACTTTAACCAAGCTTATTTCGATGGTAGTTGGGGGTTTAGATCCTAGAATTTACTCTTTCTAAGTAAATACTGGCCTCAATATTTTGAAGCATGTTTGTCTCATAATCATTCGTGTTTTCCTTCCTGTATTATTTCTTTACTCAAATCTTCTTGTTTTATATATGAGGAAGTTTTCAAAAGCTCAAATCAGTTTATTCTTTTGATTGGTGTTTGGAATTTATATATTTGTTAAAAAAAATTTTAACTGGATACAGAGCAAGTCTAAAAATAAAAACACCCTCACTCTGCCGGTGCTAAGAAAGTATAGGCAATTCTTACCCTGGTTCAGTTTTTGGAAAATGCCCCAAGTCTAAATGATAGAACTTAATAAAAATATAATGTGAACTTAATGCAAAAATAAATGTTTTAAAACTCTTGAGCATTCCTTTCATCTTAAATCCAATTATTTATACAAGTAACATCCTTTTTCATAAATCCTATGTAGTTGTAGAATCTTAGAGCTTCAGAGTTGGAAGGGATCATTGCTTGAAATGAACACCTTCATTTTATAGATATGGACACAAGGGTTTGCCCAAGCCACATAGCCAGCAGAGGGCAGAGCAGGACTACAAACTCTTAGCAGTGTTTCTAAAACTCGTCCGCGGACCCCTAGGGTTCTTAAGACATATTCTGCAGGATATAGACATTTCTGTGAGAAATTTTAAGTCTCTTTGGTATATTTTCAATGATAATCATCTAAGATGCCCATCTTATAACCATAGCACTGTCTCATAATCTCAGAGCTAGCATCTGGTTAAATGGTAAGTTTGAGCCAAGTGAAGGCCAACTATCACAACACATGATCCCAGCGAAGGTTCTATGGTAGTCTGAAGAGAGAAACACAGTGAGATGAACCAGGTCATAAGCCCACACATGAAAGTAAAGGCAAACCATGCTAAAAAAAAAAAAAAAAAAAAAAAAAAAAAATTTTTTTTTTTTTAAAATCCTAACCAGAGAAATGAGTTCCATTTTACATTTCAAGTTGTGATTCAGATTAGCAAAACAAGATCCTTTGTCATGTCATGAATGTTGCCAATAAGAATTACCGAGTTTGTAATTGGGACTCTCATCTGTGAATCTGCTTCGGTTTTAAAGTTGTTTATTAGCTGTATATACGGAATTCATACCCAGACCCAAGACCGTACAGATTAAGTAACACTGTGCTAGAATAATACAAATGAACACCGAGGCTCTTGCAAATTGTTTTTCTTACAGAGAACCCGCAAGTTCAGGAGGTACTCTAATGCCACAGCTCCTTCCTAAATACATTTGTGCCTTCTATAGTTCTAGGTTTTCAACAAGGTACCCAACAGTGTGCTATTATGGAAGTGAGAGCATTCTTCAAAGTCCCAAAGGTCATCATTCTTGTCTTATGCAAAGACTGGTCTACAAACAGGCCCAGGCAGGTCCTGGATCTCCCCCAGGTTGCTGGCAGAAGCTGTGAGAGTTCCTACCTGAATAGGTTAAACATTTTGGGCCTCACTGAACTCATTTGAAAAATAAAGGACTTACACTATACCAGTGTTTCCAAAGCACAAGAGACTATATGAAATTTTTGGACTAGTTTTGTGTTTAACACGTATGTGAAAAACTAGCACAGGAAACTTGGGATTTTATTACTATAAGGTTCAATTTATTTAAGTAAAAAAAGTGAGTAAATTTTTAGGGAAAAATTAAAAAAAGGACAAGTGGCATGCAGATGCAGCAAAAATTGTAAAGATGGTAGGCAAATGGGTGAAACTGAAAATGGCTGAACAGGATGATTTCAAACGACAATTTAGGTCTAAAATTCTGTTCTAGCCTAATAATCTCACGGTTGAAGAGCACCTTCCCTGGGATCCAGGAATTCAGAACAAGGTCTCTAGATAGATTTTGGCATGTATGCTTAAAGAGGATTTCACAGACACTTGGGAATTTCTGATACAATGATCTATTTGCTGCTCTCCTATTCACATGGTAAACTTTGCCTTAAGAAATCTAAGTATTAGAGATCAAGTTGCCCAACTGTATTTGGGAATAAAAGTCTTTAGGCTCTTTTACTTGACATCTTCTGAAAACTCTTACGTTACACAAGATATGTCACCAGCTAGATCCTAAGACCTGGCCTTTATTGCTTATCTGCTTGTACAAACACACATCTGCCCCATGTTTTTCCTTGAGTTCTTCTTTCTAGCTTAACTCAGGCCAAGGACCCCATGGGCATAACATCACGTGATGCAAACCGAACCGAGCCCTCAAGCAACGGAGGAAGCAACAGGTGGTGGAGGCCACCCAGACCAGGTAGAGCAAAACCCCCACCTTGATGGACCACAAGGGACCTCTGGGATGACCAACAATTACCTTTAACCTCCTTCTAGCAATAAAACCTCCACGGAAGGAGGAGCACAAGCCTCATGTACATAACATACGATACAGGGCACCTCTCCTTAGGGTGCACGTGTGACCTGATGCCCACCTTGACACATACGATGACAAGACTGCCCTCCCTGAATATTCACCCTAACCCTAGACAAAAGGAACCCAGTCACCCTTGCTTGGGGAGCCATAGCTCTGGAAGTTATTCCCCACAATCTCCTCATTTGCTGCAAATAGTTTCCTTTGTGTAACAACTCACCTGGTTTAGCTTCAACCTGGGAGTCGCCAAGGAGCGAGCTCACTCACGGTGGCTTGGTTACAGCTGTTTGCTTTTCAAAACCACACATCTTCTTCTGTTTGCACTGAAGTTTTCATTCCAGAACTCCTCACCACATTGTTGCTTCACTTCAAAAGGCTATTGACTTAGATGAGCCCTGCTTTTGATCTCGAAGGCATGAAATCAAAGGCTTGTCCCTTGAAGCCACTTCCTGACACCTGCCTCCTCACAGTGGCTCCAACCAGCCCTACCATGTTACAATTTCCTTTTCTGTGCCATTGTATCAGTTCACGTTTGTGGTATGGATACAAAACAGCCACCCAGAATGTTTTGCAAACATACCAGAATGTACGCATCCAAATTAAACACTATACTTCAAAAAGGCAATATGCTAAAGTGTTTTACTATTTTTTTTGGAGCCATTTGAAATGAGAAATAGTCTCTCTTACTACGTACTCTTGTATTTCCATACCCTTTTATTCCTTACTTTTCTTGTTCTCCTATAGCCACTTTCCCTGTTGTTTAATAATATAGTTCTTGTTATTGGCTGCCTACCACATACCAGGCGTAAATACCCATATGTCGTTTAGTTTTCAAATAACTCTGTAAGGTGCAAAAACCCAATGTCACAGATGAGGAAACCGAGATTGCAAAATTAAGCTATCTGCTGAAGGCAGGACCAGATTTTTCACTCAGTTTGGTTGGACTCTGATAGTGAGCTCTGGGACATACCTCATGGGCCTCACACTTCTCTGACATTCTCTTCCTCCTTTCTCCACTTGCCCCTAGTACCTGATCTCTTGCTGCTTCCAAAAGGGAGCTCTGCTGACCGTGGCCAAGAGCCAAAGATCCTGAGGAAAAAGACCACATGACTGGAAACCCCCAGCATCCAAAGCAGAAATGAGGTCCTATTTCTCTATACCATGGAAACGGAACTTGGCTTCACACACTGCCTATGCTAGTGAGCGCAATGGCCTGAGACAATGCATTAGTCCTGGATTACTAGACTTCAGATAGCTTCTCCTGATGGAAGACCTAAATTTCCATTCACGATCCATCTTACCTGTCCACAGGTAGGTGCTATACAGGGAGCTGTACAATAAAACAAACACCAGAATCTGTCCAACAAAATTTTTTTCTTTAACGAAATTCCATATCATCATTCCAGCACAGACAATAGACTGCAGAAAAAATTATGAACAAAGTCAGTCATAGTCATGTGAGTCAGACAAATGTTTTATTCACAGCAAATTTATTATAATTATTCATTTTAAAGCACTGCTGAATAATTATCATGCTAGTTATACTAAAACTTCAAGTTTTATGATAAAAACCCTTCTTATGGTCTTTAGCAGTGTACATAATCAATTGAAACAAACATTCTAAATACTAACCTTATATTTAGTAATTGTTTACATAAAAAATGTTAAACTTCTTTGTATTATAATTTGAGTCATGCAAAGACTTGACTAGAAGAATAAGATCGTGAGAGAGTTCAATTTTTAATGATTATTTCTATTCAAAGTGCAAAATTATCACCAAATGCCATTATTAGCCTCAACTTTATACAGTTCAAGATATATTGCGGTATATAAGTTAGGGATAAATTAATTGTGATCAAGTTGTAATTAATTGCAATTGGTAAAAAGTACTTTCGACTTCATAACTGGAAAAACACAGCCAAATAATTTTCTTCTTTATAGTAGAATAATCAGTGAAAAAAGCATAGTTCTGAGTATCTGTATGTCTACTAACCTGTGCGATGAGTAAATTAGTTGTAAGCATATGTGGGAGCTGTTTGTATTTCTTACTCAAAAGAAGAATAGCCAGAGACCAAATCTGAAAGACAAAAGGTTCAAAGTTATTCAGGTTTCTTAACCTTTGGACTACTTATCAAATAACTCATGGATTGGCTTCTTTAGAGCATTCTCTTTATCTTGGTTCAGAAAGAAATTCCGGTATTTTATTTACTTTAATCTGCCTAGTTCCCCAAAGAATATTAAGGTAAATTACCATACCCAAAGTAAAAAAAAATTTTAAAGATTTTATTTATTTATTTGACAGACAGAGATCACAAGTAGGCAGAGAGGCAGCAGAGAGAGAGGAGGAAGCAGGCTCCCCGCTGAGCTGAGAGCCCAATGCAGGGCTCTATCCCAGGATCCTGCAATCATGACCTGAGCCGAAGGGAGAGGCTTAACCCACTGAGCCACCCAGGCGCCCCCCAAAGCAAAATTAATAGCATGGAGATGCAATAACATGGATGGACCTGCTAGCGGGTCCATCATGCTAAGTGAAATAATAAGTCAGACAGAGAAACACAAATACTATACCATTTCACTTCTGTGTGGAATCCGAATAACAAACCAAATGAACAAACAAAACAAAACAGACATAGACTCATAGATACAGCAAACTGCTGGTCACCAGAGGGGGGAGGAGCAGGGTGGCAGGTGAAACAGGGGAGGCAGACTGAGAAGTACAATTATAAGTAAGTCCTGGGGATGCAATGTACAGCATAGGGAACATGGTCAATAACATTATAATAACTTCGAACAGTGACAAACGGTACCTGGGCTTATCATGGGGATCATTTCATAATGTATAAAAGTATCGGATCACCATGATATATTCCTGAAACTAATTATATGTCATTTATATTTTGGGGAAAACAAAGCATGGAGAGATCCTATTGAAAATTAACTGTTCAAAAATGACAGGGTCGGAATGCCTAGGTGGCTCAGTCGGTTAAGCATCTGCCTTCAGTTTAGGTCATGATCCTGGGATCATGGTCCTGGGATGGAGCCCTGCATCAGGCTTCTTGATCAGCAGGGAGCCTGCTTCTCCCTCTCCCTCTGCCTGCTGCTCCCCGTGCTTGTGCACGCTCTCTAGCTCTCTCTTTGACAAATAAATAAATAAAATCTTTTTTTAAAAAATGACAGGGTCTTTAAGAACTAATGCCTTGACCAAGGCCATGTTCTAACTTCCCCCACCTTGGGTGGCTGGGTAGGACACAGGCTCACAGCCAGCTATTCAGGAAAAGATCTTTCGTAGGAGATGCAGTTACTGCACTCTTCTAATTTTGATTCCACCATTGCCTCATGAGGTATCCAAATTCCAGGCAGTCTGACTTCAAACAAAGCATACAGCCCACCTTGAGACGAACTATCTTGCATTCTTCATATTTATAAGGATTGGGTTTCTATTCTCCCTCTAAAGTGGCCAGCTACGTATGCTGGTTGATTTCCTTCTTTCTTCTTCCCTCCCTATCAATCAAAATTCATATCATCCCTCTCCCTAGACTGTCCTCTTGTCGAAGAGCACAGATTTTAAGAATATGTAACAGAAGTGAAATTTCCTAGAAATTACATTAATAACACATTTATTTGTTGTCCACACACATGCTCACCCCTACCTCCTTCTTTTAACAGTAAAAGCTGTTTTTTTCCCCAGCCAGAATGCTGCTTGAATTCCATAAGCAACTTGAGCTACAACTCCAGTTGTTAGATGTTTTAGTATTTAATTTGAACTAGATTTATCCAGAAAGCTTTGTTGTCATTAAATGGGTGGTCAGACAATCCCTTCCAACCCCATGATTCTACAATTAGCTAATACCAATAGTATTCGTAGAGTGATCTGCCATTTGTAGATGCTTTTCACATGTATTGTCATATGTGATCCTTAAAAGAACCCATGGAAATAGGTAAAATTAGTATCTCTATTTCCTCACTGAGAAAACTGCATCTTAGAAAGGCTGAGATATACGCCTAGTTGGTGATAGGGCCAAAAGTCAGTGCAGGTCTGACTAAATCTCACTCCTCATCTGCTACACGACTCTAACTCTCAAAAGGAAAGACACAACTCAGAAGGCTGATATCACATTTTACGGGCAGGTTTTAGTTTTCTCTATCGCATAAGAGATTTTTTAAAACAGATTTTTAAATCCTAACTTTCTGTTACCAAGCTATTTTCAAACTCATTCTGTGGTTTTCATTCATATTTACAGTGAAATGTACTTACCAAGGAGACAAGGCTGATAATACTTATATCAAAACTAACATTCTGGATGGCATATGCCAATGGCTTAGGGTCCATAGTAGGAAAGGTTAGTAACCAGGCAGAAACGTACATGATTGGCGCAGACACAAATGTGCTTATTACCATCCCTGAGGTTATCTGCAAAAAATGAAATCAAATTGAGAGAAAGGTCATAGTCTCAATAAAACAATGACCCTACATTTTAAATAGTCACAGCACACCAAGGCTTCTAAAATAAAAGCAAGAGTCACTAAAAAGACATCATACATTCCAGCATGTTCTCAAATACTATATCCCCCTTTCTGAGAGTCCTTAAACAAAAACACAGTTAAGTTCCTTTGGCTCCTCTTCCACTCTATGCTCAATTAATATTCACACATAACCAGAACTAGACATCCCAAGCTGATGATTATCTTCTGGGTTCTAGAAAGTAAAACCATATTAATGATCTAATTAAACTAATGACCAGTTTCCTTCCACACTATTTCATAAAATATAGGGCAATAAAACCAATTTAAAAAAAATTACCAGGTAAACATTTTACGATTAAATAATGGAACTAACCTTTGTTAAACAGTTTAGTTCCTTCAGGTTATATTTTGAAAACATTTAGTGCTATAGATAACATATGCTTAGACACTGTTAATAATTCGGTGTTAATTGATTTTAGCTATTTACTGCAACTGATTATGTGGTGTTTTGCATCTGGTGAATTAACAGTGAATGAAACAGATTTTTTTTTACCCAAATTTCAAAAGTTACCATACTACAAATAACCTTTAGGCTTCAGCAGAAGTGCAACAATAAAATATTTAAAACTAAAAAAGACTAATGAAAAAAATTATGGCTGAGAAAAGACCCCAGATTAAGTAACTCTATTACCTGAAGTTACCTGATGCCTCCTTATTTACAATGAAGTAGCTTTCACATATCAAATTCTCATAAAAGAAGGCTGATCTCTCTGCTTTAAAAATTCATTTTTCTGCTAACCGTACAATTAAACTTAGAAGGTAGCATATACGTACAATCTCTACTTCCATGTTGAACTGTGTTGCAAAGATAGCCACTCCTGGTGCTACAGGAAAGACACCATACAAAAATGCATAATTTGATAAACTTGTATGGTTCACTACACTGTCGCCCTTGTCCAAGAGTTCCACCATTTCTCTGCACAGAAGTGGGAGCACCAGGCTGAAAAAACAAGAAATGTGTCATTCACTCGATCTCAAAGTACACTGGTCCCTAAGGAGGTGATTGTTTCAGTGAACTTGGCATTAGGTTATTCTTCTCCTGCCCAAAAGGTCTATCTATTTGCATGCACATATTCTCTACATGCCTACTTGTGAACATTTTGAAAGAATCAAGAATTCAACTTGGAGCCACTTATGTGTAACAGTATTCTAAAAAATGTTTTCAACATCAGGGATTAGGAGGAAAAAAACCCTCAGCTTTGGTTCCACAAATAATCTTCTCTCCAAAAATTTTTAAAAGTTGTAACTGTAGCTGCTGTTTCTTGTTTCCTCTACCAGAAAACTGAGATGTTAAAAGAAAAAAAAAGATTGATAATCTAAGCAAACTTTTTTCAAGAAAATTACTAAACTTCTTTTTGGAAAGAACCCCTGGTCTTTATTATGATTTGGGGTTTAAATGGTTCACCTGTTGATAACAGTGCGGCTCATTTAGATTCTGAAAGCCAGTAGAAAAATAGGCATCTTACAATTACCTCTTCATCGCTGTGATGACAAAAGGGTTGGGCAGAGGGAATGGAAACAGCTGAGGTACAGCAGAAAAGTAGTGAAATCCAGACTTGGTGGAGAGTCAGTTATTAAACAAATCCTTTAGGATTCCATAGAAAGAGCATATAAAGGAAGCCGAGCTAATGAAGCTGTCCTCTAAAAAGAACGAGGCCGGGATTGATAACATTGTCATAGTAGCACCTATGCTCTAGTACAGAATACAAAACTGCTCTTACATGTACTTTTTAATTTAAAAAATAGACAAAAATATCTAATAGGGATCAAAGACCCAGAAAAAAAGTTTTGGTTTTCTTTTTTAGGAAAAAAGATTTTTACAATGAGAATATTTAAATATTACTTGTAAGTTGAAATTGACAATACTATTAACATTAGAACCAGGGGTGCCTGGGTGGCTCAGTGGGTTAAGCCCTTGCCTTTGGCTCTGGTCGTGATCTCGGGTCCTAGGATTGAGTCCCACATCGGGCTCTCTGCTCAGCAGGGAACCTGCTTCCCCCTTTCTCTCTGCCTGCCTCTCTGCCTACTTGTGATCTATCTGTCAAATAAATAAATAACATCTTAAAAAAAAAAACCAAACAAACATTAGATCCGTATTTATGACTGCAGCAATACTAATTAATACTTCGTTAAAAAAATTAATACTTTGTTTCCAAGGAACATAATGCTACACCATAAATAATTTTCAAAAGTTATATTCATTTTTATTATTTTGGGAAAATTTAGATCCTACCTCATATTGCACTGCTTTTGTGAATTTAACAGTCTACACAAGGCTAATTTCAACAGTTAAGTATGCCCAAAGTGCCTTGGGGTAGTGTCACAGTAAAATTATGTCCCCTTCACCATAAAGTACAACTCCGTGGCTAATGAACTAAGTAAGCTGAAGAACTGTTAACTTAGGAACTGATATAAACTTTATTTGATAAGCTAGGATCAGATAGTTGAGAATAATCATATGTATGGACTTCCCTATTTAGAAAGTTCAACCACCCACAGAATTATAGTACCACCCCCAAACTCATGAAAACAAGCTTGCAATCAAAATTATTGTTTTCATCATGACCAATAGGGCTTTAAAAGATTGGAAAACTCAGAAATCCTGTAAAATTTCCTTTAAAAATATGATCAAACTGGGACATTAGAAGATACTAGGTAAGATTATAAAAAAGTTAAAGGGAAACCAATAGTCTTTATCTCTGGCAGTAAAATGGAAAGAATAACTTGCACAGAATAAGGCAGTAACCTTCCACAATATACCAACACCACATTTTCCTTTAAATGACAGCTACTCAGAAAGGAGTATTACTCTCAGATTATTTAGGGGAGAAAACAGTTGCAAAAACATCTCAGGAACTGGCTAAACAAGGCTTTCACAAAGTACAGTCCCCAAGTTAAAGAAATGGAACTTACAGTTTAGCTGTGATGAGAAGAATTAGTACAACAAATGCTGACTTCTTCAGTTTCTTTATTTTCCCCACCATTGTAAGACCAAGATAAAATAGAGCTGCTCCCGAGAAAGAATTTGCAAGTCCATCAAGAAAATTTTCCATGTATATGGGCACCTTTTGATCAAGAATAAAATTGAAGGCAATGCCAATGAAAACCATAAATACTATTGGGTTCTGTAATACACGCAGAAGTCCAAGTCCCACAATTTTCACTTTGTTTTGAGAAGCATTTTGAGTGTCTTTCCACTTCTGGATTTCACAGAAGATAAATCCTATAGGGTTCAACATCATAAGAGATATTGGTGCCACCAAGTAAATGTACTGGAGATATTCTGGGTATGTGGTTTGATACAAAGCTTCAACTGCAAAACACGAAAGAAAATTGCTTTAAAAATGATTACCACAGAAATGCAGTAATATATTATGTAGATAATGTTTTCCATGCTTAATTATAACATATTGTAAATTAATATAAGTGGTGCACAATGACCTCATTAGCCTACTTTGGAAAAGTAAATTTTAGTAATAAAGTTTACAAGGAAGAAGAACACACTATATTAAATGATATTTAGCCTACGAAATGATGATCAACTTTAAAAAATTATTGTTAGTGAGGGGTGCCTGGGTGGCTCAGTCAGTTACGCATCTGACTTTGGCTCAGGTCATGATCTCAGGGTCCTAGGGGATTGAGCCCCTTGGCAGGATCTCTGCTCAGTAGGGAGTCTGCTTCTCCCTTTGCTCCTCCTCCCTCCCCTCCTCCTCCCTCCCCTCTCTCCCTCTCTCTCAAATAAATAAATAAAATCTTTAACAAAATTACTGTTCGTGAGACCCACTAATTTTTACTATGTAGAGGCTAAGACTAGTCTCAAAAAAAGGGCAGAATTGTAGAATCCTTAAAAAAAATTCCAAACACAAATCTAGTAAGGAATTAAACATTTAAGTAGTAATAGCAACAAGGTGATTTGATTCCCTTGAGAGAGGTTTCAACTGGAGTGGGGAACCAAAGCCAGATTACAGAGGGTGGGAGAGAGGGTAGGAGACAATGAAAGAAATAATGGGCACTGAAGCGACAGAGTCCAAGCTATCATGGAAAAGAAGCAAAGATGGCAGGTGGCTCTCAGACAAAATGCAGAGGAGTCAGACACTGGAGGGCCCTCCGAAGTCCAAAAATGGTGAGTAGTTGGTCAGGAGTTCAGATAGTTGAGCTACTGCTCTTAATATGTCCCAAGTGCCTAGGTCCAGGATGTGCCGTGGGAGTTGGTGGCTGAAAGGGAGTAGAGAAAACATCACTGGAGTTGGAGAAGTCAGGGACTGAGAAGGGAGAGGATTTAATGGGTAGTACACATGGATGCTAACGTCAAACCAGATAATGGCAGGGGCACCTGGGTGGCTTTGTCAGTTAAGCATCTGCCTTTGGCTCAGGTCATGATCCCAAGGTCCTGGGATTGAGCCCCATGTCAGGCTCCCTGCTTAGTGGGGAGCCTCTTCTCCCTCTCCCTGCCACTCCCCCTGCTTATACTCTCTCTCTCTCTCTGTGTCAAATAAATGAATAAAATCTTTTTTAAAAAAAGATAATGGCAAAACTTGGTAGTTGAGAAGACAATGAGCCAGATATTAAAGTCCTCACTAGAGGAGGAGGAATGATCAGAATGAGGTCACCAGATGAGAGCAATGAGGATGAACAGACTAGGTAGGCCCTATGAAACCCAAAGAAGCAGTTCCTATGGAAGAGCAGAGAATAAGGGCCTAGCAGAGGTACGAGGTGTCTATGAGGATGCCAGCTCTGCCTGCATGTAGGTTGCAGGTGAAGAGAAAATAAGCAGCCTCCATTTGAGAGGAATGAAAAGGAATGAACGCTTTCAGGAAGACCCAGGGAAGATGCCGAAGAATTAGGAATGAAAAGGTGAATCTAAGGAAGGTTCAGGAAGGGAATACAGTGGAGTCATGTGAGTACACATTTAACGAACACAAATTCAACTACGCTCTCTTTTTTCCCCCACAAGGCATGTTCCCAAACACAAACTAAATACATCACTTGTTCATTGAGGAAAAACAATGCTAGAGAAAAAAATCTGGCTGTGTTAGACTTATGAGAAATGGAACAATGTACACAAAGTATGTGTTTTGTATTTTGTGGGCGATTTAAGGGATTTTTCAAGGATGTGATGCAACATGATGACTTTAGAACCTTACCAGTACATAAAATGAGTCTCCCTGCAAGAGGCTAGGTGGGTTGGACTAGACTTCTAGCTGTTTGTTGGTGGACTGACAGTTGGTGGCTTGGTCTTGGGTTGATCAGAGCAACTTAGACCCTTGGAGTAAGCAACCTGGTCTCCAGGCACATTTTTGGCAATGAGTTCCAAAATTCAAGCTAATATGTATAAAGGATGATTCATAGATAATTGGAGGCTGAGAAAGATAGATTAACAACAACAACAACAAAAAAGAACAGCCACAATCACTTGCTAAGATAGAGGCAATCATGTGAAAAAAATGTAAAAGATTAGATTTCTCAATTTACATTAAGATAAAGTTACACAGGTAGGAAAATATATTTGTTTACTTACTCAGGATACATAAGTTCAGTTAATGTCATGCACATGTCTGGTACAGTTATGTAACTAGATTATATAACCTTTAGAAGTCTACCTGGTTCTCATTAGCTAAAACCTACTTTTGTGTAGGATTCCATTCCCTTTTTTTCAGCTAAGCACATACTGGGGTCTATAATACCCCTGAAACGAAGCAGAGGCTAAACAAAACATATTTGATTACATAAAATTTCACAAATTCTTCCCACTGATTTCCAACCTAGATATACAAGTTCTATATCTCTTAGTGGTTTTCTTTCATGTTTCATAAAGTTTCAACTTTTAAGTTAAAAAAAAAAAGGCGTCACTTTTGATAACTATTTCTAGACCCGTCCACTCCTTCTGAACAGATATTCCATCTCTAAGAGAAAATATCAAGTTTTAAAATAGAGAGTACACTTTGGAAAAGCCTTATGTTTTCGATCTGAGTTCAGGAATTTTCCCAATAGCCAAAATAAAATGCATGAGGTGTTTGCTCTGACAACCTTCAGCAGACAAAGCCAGAGGTTAATGCTTTTCTCCAGAAATTTAGTCTCTCCGCACTCCAGCACTTCATCACCATCTAATAATGGACCTTAGATTGTTTTAAAAGCTCAATGCAAATTTGAGCAGCAGTTTTTTATTATCTACAGCTAACCAACCACTAGGTCCAACCACTAAGTCCATTCTTCTTTCGCTGGATCTTTTCTATTTTCTCCTCTTGAGCCACTAGTCAAAAATCTCAAAATTGGATTAATGTGTTTACTAACTTATATCCTTTTGGTTTTTCTCGACCACTCCCTTGATCCATTTATTCACTGCTGACAATATCCTCTAAATCTTAACTTTCAAAATGTAATGATTTTCCCACAGTTCTTACCTCCCACAAGAACAAGTCAACATGCTGATCATCATTCCCCAACTACTTGAAGTCTCTCTTTCCTTACCTAAATCTACAGTTTAAGGCCTGTCTCAGTTACCAATGCTTCCCCCTGGTCTTCAGTCTCTGTCCTGGACCTCCTCTCCTCTGGATGGCTCTGGCTTCTTTTGTTTCCTATTAGTGCCCTTTCATCCCATTCTGACATCCTTGATGGCATCACTTTAGAGCCCTCAGGTCCCAGCACAGGGCTGAGCAAATCTGTAAATACTTGCTGAATGCAATTAGCACATCAATGAATGCCAAAGTTTTCAAAGTAAAAATGTATTTTGTAACACACAGGATCAATATCTAATTGTTCTCTTTTAGACCTGTTTCTTTTTATACCCATTTTTTTCTCTTTTCACACGCTGAATATTTATAAAGCAGGTTACTAGCAGCACATTTTGAGTCAGCTGAACAGGTATATGGAGGTAAAAAAGGCACAATCTAAAGGGAGAGCAAAAATTGGGAATAAATAAATATTTGTCAAATCACGAGAAGAACAGGATTCAACATGGAGATTTCAGTCCACTTCTGCCATTCGTTTGCATAATTGAAGTTACCTATTTATCTGTGAATTGGCATTGCTTCTATTACTAATCAAAAGATGGCTTTTTAAATTGACATATATGAAAGCAGTGACCTATAGCAACAAATTAGATTTATAATGATTATGTCAACCATTAAGTTCTAATTAATTAACGCTTACAAATAAAGCTCTTGGGGGGAGGAGAGAATCCTACTATGAAGAACTAAAAGACAAAATTAGCCACCCACTGGGGCTCCTATTTTGATTCCTGCCGGGCTTCAATCCCTAGCAAACAACACAATGTCCCAGATAAGATCATTCTATTATTTAATGGCATATAGTTAAATGCTTCATTTCCTTTCTGTTTACAGCTCAAGCACTAGAGCATAATTATGATTAGTTCGGGTACTTATGCTATCAGCATTGTTTGAAGAATAAATTATAGGACTTAACCATGCCTTATTAGTAAGTTTTAATGACAGAGGTAGGGAATGATTCTGTTTTGCTGAAATCAACATTTCACCTTGGTAGATTCTTGGTTTCTTCTTAAACTCGTAATTCTTAAAGTACCTTTGAAAAGAATTGTTCTAAAAAATAGCAAGCTTCTCTATTAGTCTGATAAATGCACTATAGCCTTCTGTCACTTGAATATAGATAAATCATTTGAATATAATTTCATAGGCTTATAGTTGGCATAAAATAGAGAAAAAGGAAACATGAATGTCCTTTCTCTTTATTCATTAGCTTATCTTCTGATCCTTCTCCTGAGTCACTGTAAATTGGACTGATTCTGTGGAACAAAAGCAGTCTTAAAAAGGACATTTCTCGGAAAAA